TGGAAACATTACAGAAGAACAAAACGATTTGTTTTTTTTTTTGTTAATTCTAAATTTAAAAACCTAATTATAGACATTAATAATGTATTAAGATAAAATCTAGTCATTGTTTCATATCGATAGGATAGTGATTCATTTATCACGAATATATGTTCATGTCCCAGATACAAATAAATAACATCTAAAGATAAACTGTGGTGATATTTCATGTTATTCGGAACATCCTTAACTCGCAATGATGTAGTAAATTAAAATTCTCAACCGCAATTTATCTTTTGATATGCGAAACCGTTATTTTACAATAATTTATTTAACTTTCACCGTTATCGTGTTCGCATTAAATCATATTTAAATATCTGCTTTATATTTCGGTTCCATTGATAACTATTTTCGTGCATACTTACGTATATTAATGCGCGCGAATTGTGATAGGTAAACAAAGATTTTGAATTTCGAACGTATTAAAATTTACTTATTCGCGCGAACTGTGATAGTTAAACAAAGATTTTGAATTTCGAACGTATTAAAATTTATTTACTCGCGAACTGTGATATGTGAATAAAGATTTTGAATTTCGAACGTATTAAAATTTATTTACGCGCGAACTGCGATAGGTTAACAAAGATTTTGAATTTCGAACGCAACTCATCATACATGGCTTTGGAGTCGAAATACAAATCACAATTATGAATAGCCAGAGTATATTATCATATTAATTTATCGTTGTTCAATAGGTCAAATGAAATTAGGTTTGTTCCTCAAATGTAATCCCGGCGCCACCTCGTCGACCCAATAACACGATAAAATGCCAATGGTTTCTGTTCCGACGTAAAAGGTTAAGTGACAATGAGGTTTTAAAAGAATACTATATATATTATATACGTATATACGTACTCCTTGTACTAATATACGTACTCCTTGGAATGTAGGAAATTTATTTTTTTGAAATTAATCATGTGTTTATATGGACAAATTCCTGTTTATTAAATATATTTGTGTGATGAAAATTCACATATAAAATTTAGAGAGTGAAACTTTAATATTAAGTATTTATTCAATAAATTATTTGATTGTTTATTTCTTGGAAATTATAATATTAGTTTAATGATCGTCTCATTTTGGTCCGTCTAACCGCAAACAAAGCCTTTGTTGAATTATCTTTTATTCCTACTGCCCTTGTCCTTGTTTAAAATTGTCATTCGACATAGAAGATTGCATATTATTTGCGTGTGTGTGTGTGTATGTGTCAGAATACTAAAAGTTTCAAAACGAATATCCCTACTAATATTATAAATGCGAAAGTAACTCTGTCTCTCTGTTACGCTTTCACGCCTAAACTACAGAACTGATTTTAATGAAATTTGGTACAGAGATAGAGTTGACCTTGAGAAAGAACATAGGATAGTTTTTATTCCAGACTTTTGAAAGGTTCTCTTGGAAACGCAATATAACCGAACTCCACGCGGGCGGAAAGATAGTCTACAATAAAGTTTATATAATCTATTATAAAATTAATACAATATGCATAATCTTGGCTCGCAATTAGAAAACTTTGTTCCAACTTGCTTGAGTTAAATGCCTTATCACGACCGTCTGGAGTCAATAGAACCTTTACTGGGATTATTTTGAAGTAAATAGATCCTATTATAATGGTATAAGGTTGCTTTTGGGTTGGCAGGTTGGTTTTAATTTGGCCGACGCTAGCTAGGGTCATTCTCCCGTCCCAAAGGAACTCACAGGTAATTTATTCGTCTCGTTTTAAAAAATGATTTCTATGTAAAAGACATATTATACATAAGAAAATACATAATATATGTAGAACATAAATATACAATTTAGCATACAATTAAAGTAATTTTATATTTTCACAGTAAAATAATAAAACGTTAATATTTATTGCATCTCATTGTATTTTACGAGTATCATTTTAATATATGTTTTCATATAAAGACATTTCTTTAACATTCGCCTTGAGCCCGTTGAACAAAGCTTGACATTTAAAATTATGCAAAAGTGAAAACACTCGAAATACATACATTAAGATATGTATATGAAATTAATAAATTATGAGAACAAGATTATAATTATTATGATAAAAAGTGTTCATTAATATAGAAAATAATATAAAATATAACACTTTTTGGTAAAGATTTTTAGAAAGAGAAAGTCGTATATATTAATCGTTTAACATATTTTTAAAATTATAATGTGGTTGAATTAATTATTTGAGTGTAAATTACGCTTTTGAGATCTGATTTAAAGATAGCGAACAGATTATATGGATAATATATAGAAATAAAGATTTTTATTAATGGAGCGATATAAGTTACTACATATCTGTGACGTCATAACAGCTGAGTTTCAAATATGGCGGCATTAGGCACTACACGCGGAAGACAAATAAACGTAATCTTGTTCATAAAGATTACATTATATTAATTAAGCTTAACTAATAAAAATAAATGCAGTTAAAAATAAAACTACATAAAATGTGACAGTTTTAAATTTTATACATAATAAATATAGCGCCATTACATTGTATGACGCTTATAAATTTTGCAACAGAAAACCTTTTTCGTTGGCTGGTTTAAAACAAAAACCAGGATGTACAACGAAGCACTACATTGCCGCTGACCGCTTTTATGATGTACAATACATTGCTTCGTTATTGAATATATAAACTTCTGATGTTAATTACCAACAGGCAATGTATATCTAATGGCTGCATCATATTACGAACGAAATAGGCCAAGACACGGGTATCAAATTACAACGAGATTTTATATTTTACATATATATCATGTATTTTTTTAACTGAGTAATAAAGGTAATTTAGGGAAAAACAGATATATTATTTATAGTACATTTTATTATGAAATTATTACAAGTAATGCGGTTAGGTCGTGTTTTTGAAGTATTGAGTATGCGTTATATATGTATTATGTTTTATATAAATAAAAATAGGATAAAATAAAAGGAAAATATTTGGCTTTTGTTTAATAAATTGTGATATAAATGTTAAAAGTTTTGCATCGCTGTAATTACGGGCGACTGGTTTAGTTCAATGTACGTAAATGTTATCCCGATGCAGTTATTTTAACTTCATTTATAACTAATAAACTAAGCAATGCAAACGCAATTAAGTATCTGCTTTACACATATTAGATAAATTCGAAAAGGAATATATCCATAGAATTTTTGTTGAAATACTCCGAAACTGACAAGTCTTCTTCCTGGCAATTTCTCAGCTATAACCAGGGTCTGCCTAACATGTTGTGAATAGTTTTGGCTAATTGTTTTTACGGCCGCCTGCCTGACATCAACCCTCTTTGGGAATCAATTAATCAGTGATGTTTAAATACTCTTAGAAAGTACATATGACTCGGAAAAATCACATTGGTACTTGCCAGGATCGAACCCGCGCCCTCATGCACGAGAGGCGGGCCTTTTAACCACTAGGCCACCACTGACTATACTCCGAAACTGACAAGTAACAGTATATAACTTAATAACTGTCAGTTTTTATGTTAGTTACTCGTACTAAAATATTACATTTTTATGTTCCTAGCGTTCAGCCATTTCTTCACTAATTACCAGCCGTCACGATAGATACTGTAATTTAATTAATAATCACAATGCGTTACAGTTATGCGATTATTAATACATTCGACTGAAATGCATTGCACCAATATAACGCTCATTGCGTTAGTAGGTTGGATAATAAGAAAAATATTAAAAAATCTGAACATAGAAATAATATGCTGTATATACTTCAATGTTATTTTATGTCAAAGGTGGCAAATTAGCAAACAGCCTACTTTATGGGCAATAGTGACCGTCGCCCATTGACATCCGTAATATAAGATGTTGCGGATGCCTTGTCAACCTTGATTGTTGAGGAAAAGGGAGGGGTGGGAATAAGGAAATAGCAGGAAAGGGGGGGAATAGGGAAAACCGGCTCTCTCACTCATCGGACGAAACGCAGCCTTTAAAGACTAGGTACTTCACGCCGATCTTCTGTGAGAGGGTGGTACTTCCCAGGTCGAGCCAGCCCATGTTCGAGCTGTAGTAACTTGACTACAGCTAAGCTCTACTACCTATTAATTCAATTTATTCAAACTATTTCATTCCAGAATTTCTATGAAGTATCAACACCCTGTATAAGTAAACTTCAATTTATTCATTACTATTTTCTTTCAGAATTTCTATATCCACAAATACGGTATTCCATTCGGTTATTTCGTTATTTACATTTAAATGTACATCGCTTGTGTATCTGATCTTGATTGTATTTGATTTTTATTCATATTCGAACCGATTATCGCTTAAATAAAACTTACGTAACATAAGTTGAAATTTTAAAATTACTAGCTTTCTTCCCGCAGCTTCGCTCGCGTGGAGTTTGGTTATATCGCGTTTACAAGAGAACCTTTCAAAAGTCTGGAATAAAAACTATCCTATGTTCTTTCTCGAGGTCAACTCTATCTCTGTACCAAATTTCATTAAAATCAGTTCAGTGGTTTAGGCGTGAAAGCGTAACAGACAGACAGAGTTACTTTCGCATTTATAATATTAGTAGGGATTTTACTAAATTCACATTAAACTTATACAATAAAATATTCTTATAAAGTCGTATAGTTTAGCTTCTTATTGAAGAAATATAGAATATTATTATTAAAACAAAGGAGGTTCTATGTTTGACAAGTTTATATTATTGAGGGCAACATTCAATTACTTGTCATGTAAGGTCTGACATTTTACAAATATGTTGCCATTGTTCAAACGTCTATGTATATTTAGTTGTTTAATTGACGTATTTCATCATTTTGATTGATTAAAACATTTGTATCAGATACTTCGTATAGATGTAATGTAAGTTTTAAGTGCCAAATATATTATTATATATAGTTTTAATGGTGTGTTATATAAATGCTCCAAACTTGTTATATATAAGTACATAATATATAATGTAATATTTATTGAATATCTTTCTTTTTCAGTTGTGGTTGACGTTGATGACAGGCCAGTCTGTGTGGAAATCTGTGATACTGCGGGTCAGGTGAGAAATACTATGTAAAAGTAGTAAATTAAAATATAGTAATGGCAACACTGAAGTAAAAAAATAAAGAAACCTCTACACTCTACAACTTATAGTATTATTTTAGTATAAATGACTTCGTACATTTATAGGCGTTATAATAAATCCCTTACAGGCTTAAAGAGCTTCAATACATACAAAAGATTTTAATCTTGCACTGTTGATATCTAATACTCAATTAATCCTATTCCTTCCTATATAAAATTCACGTGTGAATACTTTTGAACTGTCAGTTTTCACGTGAGGGTATTAAACTTGTAGTAATCCGAGTATACACTTCTATCGTATCACCTGCTTCCGCCATCTGTCGGTAGATGAATGAAACTAGTGTTGTTCTCGTGTATGTATTGTATTTTTCAACTTTCACACAATTTCTCACAGTTTCTACCTGCCACAATACATGTGTGATGTGATACATGTCGTCGATCACATAAACATTCATTGAATTATGCGCTCGGAAATGATTTATGGACACCGCGGGTCTCACGAGAACTTAAAGTTACCTCTGTATTAATATTCACCACGTTTTCGTGTCAAGTTAATCCTACAGTTATTTTTTTCATTTAAATAAAACTAGTATTTTTCTAGTATACTATTTTTATTATTTTAAACTACATACTCCGACGTTTTCGGTTACTTTTCAGCAATTAGTGATCACGGACAGACGAGATTTTTTTTTCATAGAATAAGTGACTTGATTAGTAATCCGTATTCCGTAATCCGAAAAATATTAGTTTAATTTAAATGAATACTCGTAAAAACTTAGATCTCATTATTTTTTTATCTTCTTCCCTGGCAATTTCCTAGCTTTAGCCAGGGTCTTCCTTACATGTGTGAATAGTTTTGGCTAATAGTTTTTACGACCGGCCGCCTGCCTGACATCAACCCTTTTTTGGGAATGCATCAATCAGTGATGTCTAAATACTCTTAGAAAGTACATAATATGACTCGGAAAAATCACATTGGTACTTGAAAGGATCGAACCCGCGCCGTCATGCATAAGAGGCGGGCCTTTTAACCATTAGGCCACCAGTGACTTGTATCTCATTATTTTTTCATATTAACTTGAAACTATCATATGCGAAGTTAACGAACGAAAAACTATCCGTATTTAGTCTACGTTTCGAACTCATGGTAGGTTTCATATATAATAAATGAGATCCTTACATGTTGATAGTAAATCGTGATTAAACGTTACAAAAAATTATTCGAAGCTAAAAATAGATATAGTTGATATAAAAACTAGTTTATGAGTTATACCTTGATATTAATAAGGTCGGATATGTGTTTGTGTTGTAATAGTATCTAGTGGGTAAAGGAAAACTTACAAGCGAAATCTTACACTTGCTATACTAACTGAACTAACTAAATTAGTATGGTATTTGTGATTTTCTATATATATTACAAATGAAACTATTCTTTTTTCTTCTACCTGGCAATTTCCCAGCTATAGCCAGGGTCTGGCTTACATGTTGTGAATAGTTTTGGCTAATTGTTTTTACGACCGAATGCATGCCTGACATTAACCCTCTTTTGGGGTTCAGTGATGTTTAAATAATCTTAGAAAGTACATATGAATCGAAAAAATCACACTTGCCAGGGCAAGAGAGGCGGGCCTTTTAACCACTAGGCAATCAGTGACCATAATGAAACTATTCTTTTTTTTCTTTGATATTTTGTACATAAAAATAATGAAATTATTCTCTTTATGTATGAAAATTTCTATTAACTAATTAAATATCTTAATGGTTGATTAATTTTATAAGCTGAGGTATTTCAATTAAGATAATTATCGGTAATGATGGGAATATCTAGATTTATGTCTTGGACAAACTGATCTAATTAAAAAGATATTATATCTCTTACTGGAAAGTTTACCATTTACTATTCCTTATTAAATTTGATGTGAAAATAATTACGATGAAAAATGGTTGATTTGAAATATAAATAATGTAAAAAATATATAATAAGCAACTGCAAGAATATTTCAGTTTATTCAAATGTGTTAAATTAGTTCCAAATTCTTTGGTTCCAATATATAATTTGTATGATTTTATATTATACAGGGTGACTGGTGAATTACTATCAATATTTAAGGAGAATACTCGGTACATGATTCTCATTCGAATTATGTAATAAAAATAGGTACTTAATTTTTGACCAAATTTCCGTATGAATAAATAAATTGTGGACACGTTCCAAGTGTTCCAAGTGTGGACGCGTGTGGCGGCGTGCTGATACAACACCACGCCGCGCGCGCGAGTGTGTGTGTGTGTGTGTGTATACCTAATCTGTAGGATGTTCACACGATGCGTAATTAATTACACAACTTTTGGTTAACTTTACTTAGAAGTTTATTAATATTTATGTTATATTAATTTTTATTTTGTCATATATGATCGTCAAATATCACGTCCTCAAATATCGATAGTAATTCACCAGTCACCCTGTATATCTTATAAACTACATCTTTTGTATGAATTATTTACAAATTTTACGTTTATTTTATGTATATTCTTACAAATATATATACATACATTCTTTTTTATCGTAAAATAAAAATATGTATAAGTATTTAGGTACATAGAGCTACATAAAAATTAATCTAATTTCACTTAATTATATTTATTATGAGGTAAGATAATTCAGTTTATTATATAATAATACAAAAATATATCATACATTTGAGATCAGAGTCCCAACACTATCTACGATTATTATTTAAAGGATTTAATATATTAAACAAAATATATAATGTATCTTTTAACAGTATCCGAAGTTTGTCAACAATGACCATGATACACTCATGTATAACAAAACTCGAACTAAGGATAACAATTTGATTATCAACTAAGACACTGTTATTACAAACATTCATCGCATATACAGTACTAGCTCTTGACTGCAGGTTTGCCTTTTAAAATTGCCTTTGAGATATTTGTCATCATTCTTATGATAATTCATTCATTTAGAAGATAACTTAATTAAATCCTGATTTGGTGGTCACATTGACTCAGGACAATGCCCTTTCAATAAAAAAAATCAAAATTGCTATTTATTTGAAAGAGTTATAGTGTAGCAAAACAACTAGTTTAAATAAGAATTTCTTTCTTTAATGAAGTTGGCTTAAAAATATTCTAAATTACTCCTCATAACATTACCTACAGGCTACACGTGAGTGAAGTTCTCGGCAAAATCGGTTTAGTCGTTCCAGAGATAAGTTGGAACAAACAAACAGTATCACATATACCTTCATATGCGTACTATAAAGCTGTTAATTTAAATTCGCAAACAGACACATATTTTAATTACTGGTATAGGTTATAGCTCTCGTTTGTACTTTGTGTGTTGTGATTTCGATTGTATTGTTTTACATATCAAACACAATATTGACTGACGTGTTACAGATGTCTTTCAAAATAGTACCGTACCTATGAGGAAAGAGATAGTGCTAGACCGAAAGCATAGGCCATCTCTCTCACTCTCTTCAAACCAAAAAATTACTGCAGATTATACGCGTACGGCATGTCCATTAGTATGCCTACCTTCCATTAAGTAGGCCGTATGTTCATTTACCATTTTTGCCCTATAAAAAAATTCTGTAAATCTATATTCTATACATATTGTATATCTGTTCCAGGACTCAATGTCGGAGCTCCGTGAGTTATGTTATCCTGGCACGGATGTCCTCATGCTGTGTTTCTCCGTGGTTCGTCCGGAGACCTTCAGATCGGTCGCTGATCGATGGACCCGCGCTATATCCTCGGTACAAGCGCCAGTAGTGCTCGTGGGGACGCAGAGTGACCTGGCTCTTGACGGACGTGTGATACAGACTTTACGGGTCAGTATTCTAGCTTACCTTTACCTATGCTTTACTTAACTTCTTATTCTTCCTGGCAATTTTCCCAGCTTTGGCCAGGGTCTGCCTTGCATGTTGTGAATAGTTTTGGATAATTCTTTTTACGACGGGCGCCATCCTGACATCAACCCTCTTTGGGAATGCATTAAACAGTGATTTTTAAATACTCTTAGAAAGTAGTAGTAGTCGGAAAAATCACATTGGTACTTGCCAGGATCGAACCCGCGCCCTTGTGCATGAGAGGCGGGCCTATTAACCACTAGGCCACCACTGACTTTACTTAGCTAATGACTTCAATTCTCTCCTGAGCTCATTACGTCATAATGAAATAAGTCCTTATAACTTTAAGCCTACGTGTTGGTTGGTGGGTAGTTTTAAAAACGGCCTTCATCCGTACAAAGATGTGAACAGTATATTCTGCCAGTGTCGTGTAGAATGGACACAAGCCTATGTTATCATGATTACTTATTGTAATTACACTAGCTTTCCGCCCGCAGCTTCGCCCTCGTGGAGTTCGATTATATCTCGTTTCCAAGTGAACCTTTCAAAAATCTGGGATAAGCACTATCCGCCGCCGCTCCGCTGCCCGCAAAATTCGAGGCTGAGGCCTACCAAATTTCATTAAAATCAGTTCAGTGGTTTAGGCGTGAAAGCATAACAGATAGATAGACAGATAGTTACTTTCGCATTTATAATATTAGACTGTCACTCTGACGTATAAGGGATTACTATTTCGCCGAATTTGTATTATATAGCTGTGTTTGGACAAATATAATCTGTGTATTTTGCTAAACACATATTTCTGTATTAAAAGCGGTATCAAAAATTCGATATTTCTCACCTGTTTAATACATTCCTTAAAGAAGAGTAACATTTATTTTTCATATTTTAAGTCAATCATAATTTGTATTTATTCCATAATTATCATAATTCTGAAATTACTTGATGTCTAACAAACGTTAATAAAAAAAACATGTCTTTGATATTCGTTCAGGAACGTCAATAATACTCGAGCTAAACTGCACAAATTACAGTCCGTTTATAAAATAATTGTTTCCGGACGAACTTAATCATAAATTATATATAATCGTCAGACATTTTAACAAGAAGCTAAATTTATAAGTAACCAAGATGTAAATAATAATATTTTTTATAGTATTCATACGTGTCGGCCAACACGCTATAAATTATTTCATTTTCAAAGTACGTATTTTATGGCTTCGCTTGTCGAAAGTCAATTTATTACTCTTTAATGACGTGGGATGAGTACAAATATAAATATCACTTAAAAATATAAGCGTTTATATCTTTATTAATGTTTCATATTATATACTCAGATAATAGCTGACATAAGTGATGCTATTTATATTATACTCAGTACGACTTAAATTTCACTGACGTCATATTATACCGCTAAAAGTCAAATAATTTCTTATAATATAAGAACTGCGTAAGCATATTGTTTAAGTAAAATGCTATTGATATTTATTATCTTTATAACTCGCCTTTTTAAGCAAAATATAAGTTAAATTAATGACCGTATTTGTTTAATTCCAGGCCAGAAACGAACACGCAGTTACAGAAGCAGAAGCGAGAGCGTTGGCGGCAAAAATAAACGCCACTTACATAGAGACGTCGGCTAAGACACGGAAACAACTGAAGGACGCCTTCGACGCCGCCATCTTGGCTGGTCTACCAGTAATACACAACAAACGACCGCTATGGAAGAAAATATTATGCCTTAACTAGGAAACTATAATTAAATAAACTGAAACGAACATAATTAAAATGTTTTTAGCGAAAGTTTATTTTATCCAAAGCCTAGATAAATAAGCTGTTTAGTGAATATAGTGTGTTATGGATGTGCCTTACGAGTTACAACGTGTACATGATAAATAAATGTTTATTGTTGAATGTTTAAATTCGACTATTCGATATCAATGTTGACAACTGAGAATATTTTTATTGAAAATGTTTTATATGAGAGGCTGAAGTTAATGTGTTTATATAATTGGATTAAATAGCGTTGTATTAAATTACTTTCCTTTAATGTATTATATATAAAATGAATGTTATAGTTGTATATATGCATGATATTGTACTCTTAGCACGAGTTTCAAACTACAAACTACAGAGTGTTTGGTTTTTCATTGATTTACTTTATATTTGAATGAATAACTCTAAACTATCCGTTTCACGTTTGTGGATGTAAACTCGCATTAAGGGTACCGTTGTAAATGTTTTGATACTCAATTCGAACTGATAATTATATTTTGATTACAATCGTTTTATTTGTTTTATTTATTTTGTCGAATCGATTCGAAAGCTCGAATAGATTTTATTATCTTGGCTTGAAGACAGTTTTAAATGAAACTAATGCCGATTATTTTAGACAAAATAGCATCTGTTGTTCTATAATGTATTATAATAAATTAAGATGGCTGAATCTTGACATACGTCATATAATATAACCAGAGACAATTTTTCTTTTTCTTTGATGATTTGAAATTAATATCTGTATGCTTGGCATATGTTTGTATCGTCACATTACATACAATTTCTCGATCAGTAATATTACTTGGTACGATGTGTCAATATTTATGAAACGTAATAAATAAAAAACTGTTAATGATACGTGCTTATGTAGTGTGAGAATGGAATGTAGTAACTAGTAAGTATACTGTTCAGAAATAGTTACGGAAAAGTCAACAGAATTTGTAAGTATAGTAATGGAAATAGTAAGATATTAATAAGTTTCCTTTAATAATTAATTATTCGAAATTTTTATCCCATTCAGAAAAAATAGATACCTCTTTAAATCATTACCTCAGTTAGACTGAACATTTTTATTGCTATTGTTTTTTATCATCAAAAAATAGTACCCAAATCTGACTAGAAAAATAGTAAAAGTATTAATTATCAACCAAATTTATCAAATAATGTATTATTTAAAAAACATTGCATATTGTTTGTGCATGTGTTTATTTTAGAACACTACATCTGTCGACATCTTAATGAAATACTTATATACATTCAGCCTAAAGTTGAGTTGCTATAATACAATTGATAATATACCGAAAACATATAATTTTGAAATTCTAAATATACTACGATAGATATAGATTATACTACGCGTATTTTGTTACATCTATTGTATTATTATAAACTATAAAATATATATTATTATAAAAAGTTTCATTTAAAAAAATAATTGCGAAAATCTTAGATCTCATTATGTAACTGAATTCTTGCTATATTAGAAACGTGTTTTAATTTGAAACACTTTTAAAGAAAAGATGGAAAAATTGTGTTGGAGCTTTTAAAACATGAGCGACAGTTAATTTTAATATAAATAACTAAGACTTGTGTTCATCGTTAACCTTTGTGTTTCTAGTATTCTAAAAAAAAAACGCCAGGAAGAGATATTGCTTTTCACATTTAATTATATTATAAGTTTAGTTTAGATACAAAAACATTTTTACCAACTGCAAATTTCCTTTAATTGTTTTTTATTGTAATTGTCCTATTATTTTCATAGTCAACTAGCTGTTGTCTGTGTCCTTGAAAATTATTATTAGGGTTTCCTTTTGAGATTCGAATTATCATCATTTTGAGGTTTCATTGGCTTCCTCGAGGATCCCTTAAGGCTTAATCAAATCCTGTCTAATATCTAATAATCAACAATTCAAAAATAATTTAAAAAATAGACATCTTATTGTATGAATACCTAATAGCTTAACAAAGATTTAGGCAAATTGAGAACTTCGTCCTTTTTTAAATCTTTTAAAAATGAAGTTACCCAAGGTTAAATTACTCCTTAAAACGATACCTTCCTAAGAGTGAAATTCCGGTCGAAACCCAACAGAAACAGATAAATATAAATTTAAAAAACAGTTTTAGTTTTGTTGTAAATACTTTCAAATGGAATTACTAAAAAGTTGTAAGTTTCAAATTATAATCAGAAAGATCAATTTCATTTTATAAGTATTGGTTTAATGATTTAAATATAGCTAGGGACAGCGTATATATCAACAAAATATATACATATTTTATAGACGAAAATGGCCATTTTATACAGCTATAAATATAGCGCTACATTTTTACCTACCCCTGATTAACACAAAACGATAGATATAAAATATTTTTAATGCGTATTTATAGTGTTTAGAATTATGCAATTATGTACCAAAATTACCGTTGCCCAAATTATCCTTTGTGTTAGTGCCAAAAGCATCATTTTTATCTTTAATATATAAATATTTCAAACCAAATAATCGGAAATAAAGATATATTGTCTTTGATTCTCTCAAACATTTAGTTAAATAACTCGGATGTGCAGTAAAAAATTTCATTTTTTTTAAACCTCGCTATTTGCTAATATCACAGCTTAAATGATGTCAAATATTACATTGAAACAACAATAGGCAATAGACACATCGTTTCATTTCATTAGATTGAAAAAAATATTTCAATTCAAACGAATAAGCATCATAATCCGCCTGTTTGGCTTTTTAATTTGGGAATAATTTGTTTTACTTTCAGATTTCATTATTTATTATTTTGTTTCTGATTAAATCTTTTCAAAGTTACACAATTAATAACTCTGTTATAGGTCAACCATAAAAATATAATTAACTAGTCCATTCAAAATATTTTGGTTATCTAAATTTTCATATTTTTAGTAAAATAAATCAAAGTTAAACTAAATAAATAAATTAGATATTTTTTAGGGGATTATTATATTTAACATTAAAGAAGGGTTAAAAGAGAATATTTATGAAAAAATCTTATATTTTATCATAACATAATTTTATTTTATTATATTATACTACAAATAAATAAAATGAATGAAATCTACTATGTTTATACCGAACGTTATTTCTGTCAATGTTTTTGACACAAGTAAATTGACATAACACTTCGCTAATATTTGTTGTTTTGAGCGGCAGATTTTAGATTGGTTAGTTTACGAAGTTTTTTCTTAATATAAATTTAAAAATGTCTGAGGAAGAAGAACATTGCACTGATGTCGATATATCAGATATCATAGATGATTCAGAAAACATTGGAGACAGTGAATTTTTAGGTACAGAGGTTACAGACTCAGAGTTAAGTATAATTCAAGATTCAGAAAATATAAACTCTGAAGAAACTGCATCCGAGAGGAAAGTTTCAAATACAGTTAAAGTTGACTCGGTCAAGTCTACTAGGTTGCCGATGTCGAGAATTAAAAATATCATGAAAATGGACCCTGATGTTAGTATAGTAAATGCTGAAGCGGTCTTTCTAGTTACTAAAGCTACTGTAAGTTATTTTCAATTCTTTTTAATACAGAATATTTATTAATAATAATTATTGGCGATGTTTAATCTTTAAAGGAAATTTATTTTTTGTAGGAATTATTTTTAGAAACAATAGCAAAAGAAACATATTCGTATACAGTGCAGCATAAGAGGAAGACGATATCAAAGAAAGATCTAGAAGTAGTTATCAATAAGGTGGACTGTTTGTGTTTTTTGGAAGGAGCCATGGACTTCTAAGCATATTTAGTTTAATGAAACAATTGTAAATACTTGATTATAAATAAATCATTTTATTTTATCATAATTGGTCCGTTATTTGAGTTTGCTTTATGTTCCCGGTGTAATTTAACAGCAGTGTCTGATAGATTGTAGAACTAAAGCACAGTGAGCGTTTATTGGTATTTTGTTCTTGATGAGAAGACTTCTGAAAATGTATAAAAAGTTACTATTAGTTTAGTCAAATATTTAAAAAAATCTTAATATTTAATGTTTTTATCGACAAAACAATAAAATTCTAATTAGTTATTTTTTTACAGATATTTATAAGACCTAATTTTAATAATTTTTTAACTTACCCCTGCATAACATCGCAATTGACTCCGGCAGCCTTAACTTTGATCACTCTCGGTATTAAACGCAGTGAACTCAGATCAACATATTGATCTTCATCTGATAAATTCACAATGCCCAATACTCCCTGCTCGCCCGGTAATAATCTGTGAAGTATTTAATAATTATTGTATTTTAAAACTATGGGAATATATGGAATAATGTTTAATTACTTGCTATCATTATTATTAATAAGTATATGTTGAATTTTTCATATTAAAATTTTATAATAGTTAATTCTTTATAATGCTAAGACTACTTCTATACATTTTATATCCTTTTACCTTGTAATAACTAATATTGTTTCCGACAGAGCTCTTGTGTCTAAATCTCCATATTTCACAGCAGCCGTCTTTCTTATGTTTACAACATCCTTGTAGAACTGACAGAGAAAATATTTTTTACATAAATGTTATTAAAAATAAAATTGTTTTAAACGATATTACTATTAGCTAACCTGATAGTGGCTTTTGGTATTATTGATTTGTTTAGCCAAGTTTACTTCTTGGTAGTTACTGGCGACTGGTAGCCAAGTTTTTCCAGTGGAGAATCCCGCGTTGGTGCTATTATCCCAATGATAGGGTGTGCGATTGGGGTCTCGAGACTTCTTCCAGTAGTTCACGGGGTCGTCAGTGTTGCAAGCCTGGGGGTCCTTTGTTTCTTCCCAGCTGACCTCTCCATCCGTCATTCCTATTTCCTCACCCTAAATTTAGGGAATATTATTAATTCAGTTCTATGTAAATATATTATCTCTGTTAAAATCACCTCTGTTTTTGAGAGTAATATATGTGTGCATTTGTGGTGTTATTGTAAGTTTTGTGAAGTAATTTATCATATATTGATGGGTATTTTATTTACCTGGTAAATTCAGTCTTATGTAAATATATTGCCTATCTGTTATAATCATAAAGTGTGTTTTTGAGAGTATTATATGTGTACATCTGTGGTATTATCCTAAGTTTTGTGAAGTAATTTATTATGTAGTTTATTTACCTGGTATGTGATGGCAACACCAGGCAACAACAGTGCTATCATGTTCATAGCATCAACTCTGTCGACACCCTGACGATTAGCCATCCTGCTTTGATCGTGATTACCGTTCTAAAAAGAGAATTATACATGTTCCTTTAAATAATTGGTTAAACATAAATAATATTTGCACATATTTCTTTAACGCATGAGGGTAGGTAGATGGTCCTACCAATTTTGAAAAGCCAAAAAAAAAATCCAAATTCAAATTATCTAAGATAAATCCTTTATGTAAATTTTATCCTCACTCACCACCCAGTTGGCAGTTTTTCCACTCGGCATGTACGTCATCCATTTATCGATGACAGTCTTAATATGTCTTGCGTCAGAGTCCTTGTTGATGTCTCCTAAATAGCTGAAATTAAAGGGTATAGATCCGTTCCTTGTTTTAGTTCCGTAGTAGCGCATCATGCTGTTCAAGTCCGCATAAGCCTCCGTCATCATGATCTTGTATTCTCCATGCAGTTCAATGTACTCGTCTAGAAGATCTCGCCAGTCGTAAACCACTTCATAGGTCTCGTTCAGATTTTCGGTATGAATGTGGTTGAGGTATTCGTAATCATCGGGATTTGTGTTGGGGATTCCTAGAACATTTTATACTTTAAATATACGTTCATACTTTTTGAGTTTCGTTTTTGGGCTTGAATGTCACCTGATAGAGGCTCATCTGGGTAGCGACCACCGAAATCAGCGGGATTAGATTCGTACAGGCGATTGATAGCGTCCACACGGAAGCCGGACACTCCTAAATCGAGCCAAAATCTTTGGACATCCTGAAATATTTTTTACAAGTAGGTATAGTTAACAATTTCTTCTCTTCAAAAAATCAATGAGTAACTTATTCTTACCTTCATTTCCCTTTGAACCCTTGGGCTTCGATAGTTAAGATCTGGTTGTCCGATTACAAATTGGTGAAGGTAGTATTGACCGCGAACAGAATTGTATTCCCACGCACTCTTCCTGAAAGTGCTCACCTGATGGAAAAATTACATCTTTATTTATATAATAGGTAATACAATAAAACAAGTTTCGTTACTTCTAAATCTCATTTTAAGATTATTATTATTTCATACAGGGATGTTTTGTAAGATGAAATTTTACAGATTTATTGCTTATATTTTACATAAAGTTAATCAGATTACATTCGCTTTTTAAAAGCATTAAGCTACTTCAAAATATTATTAAGGAGGAATTCGAAAAAAACTGCTAATTATAAATCTATATACCCAATTATTCGGTGGTTTAGTCTCATTGGATCCCTCAATTTTGATACCGTCAGCCCAGATATAGTAATCCTCGTAGCCTGGCTCGCGTCGAATCGACTTCTGGAACCATTCACTCTCATTTCCCGTGTGGTTAGGGACAAAGTCCATTATTACGCGAATACCTGTACAGTGAAATATAAGAATTCAAACAAGACTATTTTGAAATTGAACTTGTTTAGGTATACTTTGGTTCAAAAACGGCGTTTTAACCCAATATTTTTGGTAGAAACAACTAAGAGTGATACAGAAAATATATATTTTTAAGACATGTTAAACAGGATAAGAAGTATGTATATTCTTTCTAAATTAGAACTGTAATTTTATTGCGTGCAAATAAATTAAAATAGACGCTACATTGTATTCAATTATTTTCTCCCTTTCGTTTAACGATACTATTTTTCATACAAGTATCATTTTAATTATACCCAGTCTCTTTGCTTCTGTCATGAGCGTCTTGAAATCATCCATGGTGCCGTATTCTGGCGCTATTTTCCTGTAATCAGTGATATCATATCCGAAGTCATACATGGGCGAGAGGTAGATCGGTGAGAGCCATATCGCATCAACTCCTGTCTGATTCAAATAAACCAGCTTCTCCGTTATACCTTAAGAAGAAAGAATTAAAATAGTTATTATTAATCTGCAAAAAAATCTGATTATAAATAAGTAGACTGAATTAGTGAATTAAGACGTTACGAACGTTTTAAACAGTATTCTGAGTCTACTGAAATTATGCGTGAATAAAAATTCATATGTAAGAAAATTATCTTTACCATTTAATTAAGGAAAACTATAGAATTTCTGTGATAAAGACTTCTATTATCGTTTAGTAAATGTTAGGGATATTTTAAAACAAAGGCTCATAAAGGACAAACCATTAAGATCGCCGATGCCGTCACCATTACTGTCCTTGAAGGATCGAGGATAGATTTGGTAGATTAAAGCGGTTTTCCACCACTCGAGATCAGAAGCTGCCGCTGTCGAGAAGACCACGAGAAATAAGATCAGGAAACGCATGGTTCAAGCCACCGGTCACGTAATAACCCTACCTCACAATGGATATGTAATTTACTTGCACTTCCTTTAATATACAAACCGCGATAATGGTCTAGTGTTATTACAATTGTTATGAAAATCATTATCTCATCTCTGAAGCACTTCATATGTAGTGTATTGTTTTTAAATATGAACATGTTTTATTGTTTATCAAATACCAACGTTTTTAGAATAATTTACTTATATGAATTGAAATAAATTTATGAATTTAACTGAATCTGTAAATATTTTTTGTTTACTCTATCATTCATATAAATAAAAACTATAGCCATTGTTTGTTGGACGTAGGTAAATGACATTCAAAATGTTTCTGTCGAAATCCAAAATTTTAAGTGTATATAAGATATTTCTTTAACTTAAATTTTTAGGTATTAGAAGTATAATTTTTGATAAAATATACTGTATCTACAACTCATGAAACCCTTTTCTTGAGAGAAGCTTCAGAAACACGATATTTCATATTTCAGATTCGTAGAAAGTAAGCCGTTTCGATTTTAAATAGACACGTTAATGTAGAAAACTATTGGTTGGACATTCGAAATAAAAATTCATTATATATAAAAAGGATTCAGGTCGAATTTATGGTATAATATAGCGAACTCATTCTTTGTGAATCTTCTCTAACTTGAGATAGACCTTACCTGTGGTCAAATTACTACAGCTCGAACATGGGTGGGCTCGACCGTGGAAGTACAACCTTCTCAGAGGAAAGCAGTAGTCTTTAATGGCTGCGTTTCGTTCGGTGAGTGAGAGAGCAGGTTGCCCTTAGTATAAAATAAACATTCTTTGAAGGATAGTAGGAACGTCCCAGATTATGGCATAGGTAATTCTTAAATTAAGTGTGATGAGTTTTTGTTTTTATATGAGAACTAGCACCATCCCATCATTTGAATCCCGTTCTCTAGAAGTCCGTAAATTATGTTTATCTCTGTCTGTCTGTCTCTTCCTCAACAGCTCTTTACTACAAGCAGTTCTACTTCATAATTGAAATAAATTTCCCTATTTTCCGATATCTCATTCCGTAACGCTCAAAGAAAGTTATGAGTCTTAAAATGATTCAGCAAGTTTCAAAAAACGAATAATACAGGAGTATTTGATAGGGTAATTCAAATAATTTATTTCTGGTGAGAAAAGAAAGCTTTTACACTAAATATCCATACAATCTTGGCTTATGGTGTGTAGATCAGGGCCAGTGAACAATTCCTACAGAGCTCTTACGAAAAACGAATGTTCTTTAATCTTAAAGCAGTCATCAACTGTTTTCTGAGCAATATTAATTACAAAGAGTTTTCTTATATGCTTGACATATTCAAAGTTTTGCAGCACGTGTCTTAAAGTATGCAACATTCTAGATGCGCACTTCGTTAAATTTAAGGTTCAGGTTCACACGGCTTGGTGTTCGTTCCGCGGAGTCAGCGGCGTTACTCGTTACCTATACGATATTTTACCGATACAAAGATGTCGCCCATTTTTTTTTCTTCATAACATGCAGCGCGTATGCAACAAACCTTTTTTATTATTATTGTTAAATAAATATTTTTCTTACACGTAATTTACAATTTAACTTATCAGGAAAATGTAATTCAAAATTAATTTTCATGCTAACTAAATATTTTATGAATGTTATAGATTGATTGAGTTAGTAATACTATGACTCCACTTTTAGCTACCATTCCTAAAGCTTTAAAGAAACACTTATTAAGACCAGAGTAATTCAATCTTAATTTTTTTCCAAAATTTTAATTAATAGAAAATCTTTCAGTGTGAATAGTTTTCCATTTGATTTTAGTGATTTATAATTTGATTTGAGCGATTAGTTTAATTCTACTTTTTATTAATATGTTTTTGGGTACATTTAATATAAATGTTTCAATCCATCGGGATAACAATTGAAAATTAGTGTGCTTCATCATTTTTGGTAATGTTTTTGTTAGTTTATCATAGAGACGAAGACTTGAAAGGCTTTCTTGGATGTACAGAGTAAGAATGGTTAAGATCCGAATTTTAATTGTCTCTCTTGAGTCTTGGCTCGAGGCAACCTTAAAATTAAAGTAAGGAATACGTCAAATGGCTGGCATCCTGTTAGGTAATATATTGTTACAAGTGGCGCCATCTGTGAAGCACTAATTAAATTATAATATAATCCTTAGAATTATTTTTATGACTAATTATAATCAATTATAATACTGAACCATTGTAATTTTGTGTAGCAATATTTAAGTATCAACCTGTATTTGAAAACTTCAACCATTTTGTAGCTCATTACTAGAAGTAGCACTGAAAATTAAAAATCATGTCTGAAACTATAGCTTGAACAAGATGCTAGTCAACAGTGAGCTATAAATTTTAAGTAATGGAAGGATGAGGATAATACATTTCTTTACGTAAAATAAAACGAAAAATATTAAAAACCACTTTATTAAGAAACACATGTCCATTGTAAATAGTCAACAAAATAGTGAACCTTTGAATGGTTCTAGGAATTTTAGATGAAATACATTTGTAAAGGAAACAATAGATTTTACATATAATTTTACTAATAATAATGTTACTTTACATTCTATAAGTAATAATAATGATTCTTTTCAATTGAAATTACACTTACTTATATTTAGATAGTAATTTTGTATTGAGGATATTTTTCAAACCAACTTTTTGAAGTATAAAAAAATTATAATAATATATACATATAATCTTTATTTATAATAACAAAGAATTCTTTGTTAATAGTTTAGCTTAAGTATTATTTTGATACATACATTAAGATAGTTGAAGACATTAAATTTTAATGGAAAAATATTCCAATGTACTAGTATATTATGCCATATTCAAATTTTTTTATACATGTCATGACATGTCGTCTCCATCGAAAGCTGTAAATAATAAAATTATTAAAAATCAGATTTCTATAAAGATTATAAAAAAATATATTTTTTAATGTCACTTTTACATAGTCATTTTTAATGATGTCAATTGTTAAAATTCCTTTTGGACAAAAACATTTGTTTGTCACGTCATGAGGTGTGAGTGGTGAACATCAAAACAATATAAATTATTCCAATACAATTCAATAGTTGATAACGCACAAGACATAAATATCCTAAGATAGATCCCGAGATTTGTATACATAGAACCTTTATTAACAATGTAATATGTATATACAAAAATTATAATATATTAAATTTAGTCACTTTTTTCTACACTGTATTTTCTCTAATTTGATTTTTGTTTTAATCCAAGATTATTTATGAACATGCTTAAGGAACCACTTGTACAACTGTTTTTTAGTTCGATGGAATGATTATTAAATATGAACTCTTTGTACTAAAATTAGAATAATTTACAAGAATTATTAGTTATTAGCATTTTATTTAGAAAACCTTATTTGAAAATATGTTATATTTCGTCTTTTAGTAATTTTGTCAATTATTTTTTCACATACACTCATAAACAGTATACATTTTTTTATTACTTTTAAATGCGGTTTTATTTTTATTCGATCACAAAAGATATAAGAATTCTTTCATTACATTCATTATGGAAAAAATTAATTTGTTTATCCAGAGATATATTTGTGGATAATTATCTCGTGTGCGTCACGTCTCACCACTCACATACTTCAGAATAAAACAGAATTATATATAGATATATCTGAAATCAAATAGCTTTTTCAAAGTGATGAAATTTTTACATTACAGAATATAAGACAATGGACCATTGTGTATTATTTTCAGATAATCTTTTAATGTCTAATTTAGTTAATATGTTTTAATTAACGTACAATTTAATTATTAACACATCAATTTTCTGTCAGCAGATTATTGTACTGAGAAATATCTGCACCTTAAATTATTTTTTATGTATATCCTAAAAACATTGAATTTAATGATGGTTTGAAAATAAATGATATGTTGTTACTATTATGACTACAACAAGTGAAGCGAGCTTTTACATATACACACACACGTATATATATAAGGATAAATCGTAATTTTACAAATGTCACAAAATGTAGTTTATTCTAGAATGTTCTCTTAAAATTATATAATTAAGTTTATAAACGTTCACGTACTAACCTAACGTTTGAAAGTAACGCTAATTTCCTATAAGGAACTGTCAATTATTTTCATACAAACGATTACATATTCAAATTATCATTTCAAGATATTTACAAAATATACAACACGATTAGCTTGTACCCTAATATGAGGTTGTCAGACTATACATAAAATTTAAAGTTTTTTTACTATAAATTTAATCTTTTTATTTATATCAATGAATAACTTTTAACGCTCCGTATCGAGTGTCGCGTGAACTTGTACTAAGTTACTGTAGATACATAAGTCAATATTTTTAACAGATAATTTTATATGTATCTTGTACTTATTAAGATTCTTATATATTCTTATGTATTATTAGTCCATTTGGAAGGGCAAGTTAGCAGCTATTCTTGGTTTCTTCTTTCTTTGAGGACGATTCTGTTGCGGCTGAACATTCTAGAAATAAAATAATTTCATTAATATTATAAAGGAACCTTAAAAATGATGTAATAGAAAATTACTTAAGAAAGTTTGTAGTGATTGTATGAAGTAGGCTTTTTTTTTCGTTTTTATTCAGCTTTATGATTGCAGATCTTCTTATTTATTACATGTATACACTATATATTCTACAATAAAATCCATATATTTTGTAATACTTACAAACAAAGTGTTATTTGGTGTGGGGTGAATGACCTTTGGAGTCGGTAAGCCTTCGAGATCACGTCTTTGTGAAGAACCGCTTGAATTTTGGACGCGCCTGAAAAAAATAATTATAAACTATACATATATGTATTTATTTAACAATTAATGTATATTATTCAATTAATTTTAAATTTTGACACTATTTTAGACAACACTTGAAACATATTTTTAGTGAGATCTAAGACTTTCGCGAGTATTCATTTAAATGAAAGTAATATTTTTCGGATTACTACATACGCGTTATTTTATTATTATAAAAACTACATACTCCAGACGTTTCTGTTACTTTTCAGCAACCCTGATCAAGGGGGTATGTAGTTTTAAAAATATATATTGTAATAAAGCTTAGTAATCAGAAAATATTAGTTTCATTTAAATATATAAAATTAAATAAATATTTTCATTCAATAATATTGTTTTTTGTTAATTGTTTGTTGAGGACTTCACGAGTGTTTACATACTACAGATACTCAACTTCATTAAGTTTTTCAAGTGTTTCCAAACAAACAGGAATTCCACAGACAGACGCCGAGCGTCATACAGATAAATATTAATTCAAGATTTATTAAGTGCTATGTATTAACATTCCTTTGTTATGGAAAATATATCCAAAAAAGATTAATATATACAACGTGTAAAATAATTAACGCGCACCCTCAAACACCCCAATTAGAATATAATAATATAAACGCAATGCATACACCAAATATTATTTATATGTGTTTCGGTTTTTTATTTGTGAAATTAGTTATCCCAATTTCGTGCAAATAATATGGTCAGCTTCATAATTCACCAACACTCCGGTGCACACGCACACACAGACAGACACAATGTACTCGCCGCGCCCGCGCCCCTCTCTCCGAGTGCCATCCGACAATAATAAGTAGTAGGTAATAATAAGTACACGACATAACTACATTATAATTTATTATTTTTCTTTCCATCACACTTTTCAAGCTTTAGATTGTTGACATTGAATTTCTTTTTAATGTGAAGCCAACATTTTATAGTTACTGATTTGTTAAATTAAATTTGTAAATAAGAATTATTAAACAGCTGATAACGCGTGATTTGATTAGACACCACAATACCTACGACAAAGTCGGCGTCTTAAAATGGTGTGAATCAAAATATTTACAATAATTTAAAGATCATAAACAAATTTACAGTTTACTTTGCACTCGCACGGCGTTGTCGTTTTAAAACATTTTCAAAATGTCCACCGCCTTGTTTAATGCACTATAATGACCGTTTTCGCAATTGTGGTTTTATTTTAGATAATACTGCAGTGTCACTTTTCACTTTTACAAAGGCGGTTATTATCTTATTTTTATTGTTTGTTGTTATCTCTGTGTTATAAACTAGCGATTTAATTCGCCCCGAGAAAAAAAAGTCGAGTGTCGTCAAATCAGCTGATCTAGGAGGTCAATGGACACGTGTATAGGTATTTGATGTGTGCCGACTGTCGCTGTGTGTGTTGCGTGCGTAGGATGACTGTAATTTACTTAGTTATATCTAAATTTGAGAAAAAAAATGACCTACATAAAAAACTATAAAAATCGATCCAGATACCGATTCTGAACAAACTACTTTCAGCGTGTGCGTTAATTATGTTACACGTTGTATATGTGTATTTTTTGCTTTATAAATAATTATTATATAGCTAAAGCCCTGGCTAAAGCTGGGAAATTGCCAGGAAGAAGAAGATAAATAATTATTATATGTTTGATAAAGTTTTTGCTATAATTATATATTTTAATGTAAGGTACACATATAATACTTGTAAAAATAAGTGCGGATACTGTGTTGGCAAATTGTTTTTACCTTACCAATATATTTTTTTGTAAAATGAGTCTATAAGTCCTACTAATATTATAATTGCGAAAGATTGTGAGTGTGTGTGTATGTTTGTTACTTCTTCACGCTCAAACGGCTGAACCGATTTTGATAAAATTTTGTATACGGGAAGCTGACGTCCAGGAAAAAGACAGGCTACTTTACATCCCGGAAATTCGCGGGTAACACCGCGGGGCGCAGCTAGTAAATAAATAAATGTATGTATGTATGTCACATGTTCTATTCACCTCCGACTAGTCTGTACTTGCAGCGGCACAAACGGATTGCTGTACTTCTCTCCATTGTTAACTTGTCTGTTTGTTTGTTGTGGTGGCGGTGGAACTGATTTGAAATTCTGTGGAAATATTATATATACATATTAATAATAACATCACACTAAACTTCATTGTAATGTTTGTGAATGAGGCTTAGAATATACACTATATAATATACTAGTTTTTGCCCGATACTTCGTCTGTTTTACTTTAAAAATTAGAAATATATAGCTGAATAGCAAACTCTATTATTCTTTAAAGACAGTAGATAAGATGATTTTGGATTTTATCAATTTAATATTATTATTCAACCACTTGAAAAAATTCCTTAGCTTTTTCTCGTTCTAAGCTATCATTCAACCGATTTTTATAACCCATAAAGGATATCTTGAGCTAAAGTGTAACTAACGCGAATTTCTTTTATATATAATGATGTTTATTTATCTATAAATTAATATTATTTTAATTATACCTCGTTCTTAGTCCAGGACGGCATGAGATTGATTTCTTGTCTCACGTCTGGTAAGTGTTTTGGGAAGCTCTGGGGCTGCGGTGGCCGGGGGGGCGAAGCGCCGAAAGATGGGTACGGTATAGATGGCATACCGATAGGCTTCTGTCTCTGGAAACATTAAATAATAAGTTAATAAATGAAACTAATAATATTCGGATTACTATGAGTATTTGATTATTTTAAAAATTTTATACACCTGATGTTTTGGTTAAAAGTAACATTTTCAATTCAATATTGACATATTATTGAGATATAATTATTATACCCTTTTATAAATTATTAGGATTATTTTTTATATATTAAAAAACGAAGAAGGTCACATTTAAATTTTATATCTGATAGTTGGTACTTTTACTTATCATTAACGGAGAGTTTTGTACAAATAATAATATTTTTATCTATATAAATATATAAAATTATTATTATGATTTAAGTCACCTGTGTGTTACTCCATTCTCCCTGACTGTATGTATTTGTTTCTCTTCGCCAGTTATTTTGAGTTGTTCTGAAACAGTAACATCTTATTATATGAATATTTCTTTATTATATATTTTCTCTATTATTTTTCTCTCTGTATATAACACCTTACCCAGTAAATATATTCCAAAATGGTGATATGCAGCTTGAAACAATAGTTTATGTTATGAAGTTATTAAAAATCATAACATTAGTTTTAAAAATACTAATTTATTGTTAAACAGTTTATATGTATGTATTATCACTATGACTAGTCATGTGTAGGTTAAGGTACTTTGTTTTTGTTTTAATTTCTTAATAAATTTCTATATGTTAAATTTTTTTTACAATATTCTTACTTATTCGGCGAGGTCGCTTTGTCACTTCTTGAACGCCAATTGCTGTTTGTCTCTTGAACATTCTGTAATAAAAACCATTTTATTATAGATATCAACAATTTTATGATTCCACAATTCGATACTACTTAAATACAGGAAAAATCAAAGTAGTAGACCAAAAATAAGTTTTTTTTTACAGCTTACTGCAATATCTAGTTTCATGTAATATTAATATTTGGAATGTAATACATAATTAATGATTCAAGATAAAGAATTCTTCAACTTAACAAGTTAAACAAAATTTTTTTTAAATTAGTTTTATGATGAATATAAATATATTATACTGGTCTGTATGAATCAAAAGAACATTTTTTTGAAGAAAAATGATCGAAATTCTTAGTAAGAAAAAAATATTATACTGTAGTGTTTGTACATCGTGTGAGGCATGTTAACAGATGCTTATAATATATATACTATACCTTGTTGCCCCTGGATCCGTCCGCCTCTCCCTCACTGATCCTCAACAGACTCCTCAACAGATTGGTGGCGCTGTCCTGAAATTAAAATAATATTTATTTAGTACAATTACATATCTTTATATATATAATTCTTCTGTGAGTGTGTATGTCACTGAACTTTTCTCAAACGACTGGACCGATTTTGATGAATTTTTTTGTGTGTGTTCAAGGGGATCTGGGAATGGTTTAGATTCACAATTTTGTCCGCTGGACAATGTTTTTTTAATTAATTTTTAATTTATTAGTAGTTGTTGATAGTAGTTGATGATATTTTTTTGACATTAGATTTGACAACTAACTAATATGTCAATCATTCTGTCGCACTTCAAAACACGCAGATTTATGGCTTTATTAGGTAAACTCCAAAAATATAAATAAAAAAACGTAACAGATATTTCTTGATTATAGGGCGATACGAAGTTCGCCGGGTCTTCTAGTAAAACTATAAAATCTTTTAGTTATGAATGTAGGATCTTATATTCTCCTGTTCATGAGAAATTACAGTTAAGCTTCTTCTAGTTCTTCTATTAGAAAATGTTTGTCTTTAGTTATGTTACAAATGTACATACATATGAAAATATTTAAATATGATATACATTACCGGTGTCTGTCCATTTTTAACATTGTTGTTAACGTTAGGCTTATTTTCAGTCACGGGGGTTTTAATTTCTCGCGGGGGGCTGGAAACATTATTAAACATTAGCTTACATACATATAAATAATATTTTAATACTGAAAATCATTTTTAAATATGCAATTTTATAATTATTTAACTTTCATTACGTCTCGAATAATGATAGAGTTAGTATAGATTTCGTTTTTCAATTGTATTTATATATGAAACTAATATTTTTCGGATTACTACGCGTTTATTACTATTTTTAAACTAATTGTGAATGTATTCACATCTTGTCCGCCCGTGATTATTGTTGCTGCAAAAGTGACCGAAATATTGGAATATGTATTTACTTTTTAAACTATAATAAAAACTAGCTTTCCGCCCGCAGCTTCGCCCGCGTGGAGTTCGGTTATATCGCGTTTCCAAGAGAACCTTTCAAAAGTCTGACATAAAAACTATCCTATGTTCTTTCTCAAGGTCAACTCTAAGTCTGTGCCAAATTTCATTACAATCAGTTCAGTGGTTTAGGCGTGAAAGCGTAACAGACAGACAGACGAACAAACGGTGTCACTTTCGCATTTTTAATATTAGTAGGGATTAGTTTAGTACTCCGAATAATATTAGTTTCATTTACATTAATACCATCGAAAGTCTTAGATCTCATTATATTAATTATTACCTATAGCTGGCAAACGCAGAGTAATGTCCATCGCCTCTTCGTAGTACAGTGGGTGGTTGTGAGTTAAACGTGTAGTTATGTTGTGTTGTCTGATTATACTCAAAGCCTTGGGGCTCACTCACGGTGCGTAATTTCCGCCCGTATGATATATTCAATATATGAGCGGGTTGCATTCTGGAAATATATACTTAGATTAGATTAACTGCATGAAGTGAGATTTAATAGTTATCAGGATAAAGATAGTTTAAAAATAAATTTTCATTTGTCATTTAAAACTACTGAATATATTGTAATTAAATTATAGTTTTGGATTTTGTGAGTACAGTTTAAATAATACAAATTAATGAGCAATGCATGTACATTCATATGTGTTTTCTTACACCTATAAGACTATTTATGTCTAAATCACAGACGAAGTCATGGCTATCAGCTATTGTAAAAAATATTAAACACTGGTACTAATTTGCTTAAAGATCAAATTATAAGCAGATTATCAAATAAATATATATTTTTTTACAATTTTTTTTTATATACTATATCTAGCTAAGAAAATTTAAATAACTGTCAATTTAATAAATATATTTTTGTATATGGCAATTATATAATTTTTATGGCAACACTCACCTATAGAACCTTGCCTCTTCGAATAGATCTTCTTTCATAGCTCCAGGGAAGGGTTCATCAAACATAACCTGGTAGCTTGGCGAGGCGTTCAGTTTGTCTGATAAACGGACGGTGTTGCCATTAGACGGCTGGTATATAGCAGTGATAGTACCCTTAGAGCCGAGGGGTACAGTTATATTGTTGGCAACACACACCACGCGGTCGTACATCCGGTAGTCCGCTTTGATATCCGGTTGGATGTTACCCTCGTGGAGTTCGCACTGGGAAGTATTAACAACACATCAATAATGTCTTCGCCTTAATAAAGACTTACAAACTTATGTTAATGTAGTAATTTGGATCATTTATTAACTTATTAGTCAATAGAATAGATTTTTAATTATATAAAATATTGTATGCTATATTTAAAAAAAAATTAAATTTAATGTCAGTTCCAGTGAAGTTTGTCTTGTGATTTTTGGTTTTAAGTGATTTATATAGAATACGATATTCATGGATACTATTCTATACTAGTAAGTAGTATATATAAAGTTTTTCTCGCGGGTAGAAAGGATTCTAGGATATGTCTATTTAGAAGGCAAACCCTTCTATGACCTATACGTTAGATAGTCATACAAGGAGATCACCTTACTCCGCGAGGGTTATCATCATCATCAGCCTATCAGAGCCCACTGCTGAGAGGCCTTTTTCTCACATGGAGAAGGTTTGAGCATTAATCATCAAGCTTGCTCAAGACGGGTTGGTGATTTCAAACTTATAATTGTGAAATTATAAGTCCAGGTTTCCTCACGATGTTTTCCTTCATCTGTCAGTGATGTCTAAATACTCTCAGAAAATACATATGACTCCGAAAAATCATTGGACTTGCCAGGTTTGAACCCGCGCCCTCGGCAACGAGGCGGGCCCTTTAACCACTAGGCCACCACTGACTTGTATATATACAAATCGCAACGCTAGTATTATATTGACTGTACCTTATATAGTAAACTCCATTTAACATGTAGCGTAACATTTTTCTCTTTATTTCTCAGTTCGTGTATCTGTTTCTCCATAGTATTATATAAAGCCCTCATTTCTTCAGGCTCCAAGGCTTCAGAGCCACATTCTCGTCTCGGCGCGCTACTGTGAGGCTGGGACTTTAACCACGCCGCTATATCTTGAACTTTGTTCTTACTGAAATTATATTATAATACATATATTAATTGTTTTATTACAAGTTTTATATTTATGGTTAACATATTAGTAACTTTCCTACATTATGTAATGAATGTTTATTGTGGTGTAAATTGCTATGTAATAATATTAGTTGTATTTTAAAGGATATGAATAGTATTTAAATAAGTTAACGACATACCAAGTGTTAAAACTTACTTGTCAATTATTTAAGATCTTTGAAATAGAATAATGTTTTTTTTTTTATTTACTCATATTGTCTTATTTTCGACGTAAATGCTAACAATATATATTAATATTGGAAATTTTCACTAACCCCAAATCTCCCGGCCATAAATCGCTTTCAAAGAACACGTCTCTATGTGAGTTTGCGAGTGCGTCAAATAGTTCAGGATATTTGGCCGCGTATTCTTGTACGAGAGACACGCATCGGGTTGAATACACCCAGCCGTTAGCACTCCGGCGACTGTAACCTGACACCTCCTGGTTCTAGAGGGAAATTAAATATACAGATTATATACGACTACAGAATATATTTGATTATATTAAAAAAATAAAAGAAATTGTAAGTTTTCTACCGTTATATTAAAAATAAAGCACATAAGTACTACGGTTGTCATATGACATCATTCATGAAAATTCTTAAACTCGTGACTCTTGAAGCGAGCAAATCTATTAATGTAAGGTTTTGAAATAAAATTTTGTTTGTCATTTTCTTAAAAGTAATACGTATGCATATAGCACACACACACATATACGTATATCTTTAAATATATATAATTCTTCTGTGAGTGTGTATGTCACTGAACTTCCCTCAAACGACTGGACCGATTTTGATGAAATTTTTTGTGTGTGTTCAAGGGGATCTGGGAATTGTTTAGATTCACAATTTTGTCCGCTGGACAATGTTTTGATTTTAAATTTGACAACTAACTAATATGTCAATCATTCTGTCGCACTTCAAAACACGGAGATTTATGGCTTTAATAGGTAAACTCCAAAAATATAAATAAAAAAACGTAACCGATATTTCTTAAATATAGGGCGATACGAAGTTCGCCGGGTCTTCTAGTCCATATATAATATTATAATGTATCATACCTTTTTATTAAACTTCAAGTTCAATCCAACATTTATTTTGTTCTGTGTCTCAGTTGGCAAATCGTTTCTCTCTCCGGGTATGACAAGGACGGTCCCCGTTATACGAGATAATAACTGGTTTGATATACCTGGATAAAATAAATTATTATATATTAATAGATTTTAAGATAATTTAGAACTAATTATTATTACTCTTTTTTTCTAGTTTTATAAAGAACTGAACTGCTTGTGAATATTGGTAAGTTTGAAGTTTGTAGCTCAAAAAATCACATATTATGTATATCAAAAAAACCGAATACGTTAGTATATAGTTCGAGTAATCAAACTTATGGTAAGATTACTTATACTATCTGGAAAATTTTTCGTCTAAATACTAGTTAGTCTTGGAAAACCATTGACATATGTAGTTAGAGTATTCATACTTTTCGTAAAATTACTTATACGATCTGGACATATTTTCTTCTAAACACAAGTTAGTTTTGGTTTATATATGTATCGTGTAACACACAACTTCTCCTTTTTAAGTCAGTTAAGTATCTAACCGCATGCGGCGGCCGCGTGGTGCGTAGTGCGATAAGGGCTCGCGAAACACTGGCTAGTCACTACCGGCTCCGCGCACTCACGAACAGACACTTTGATACGACCGCTACGGATTGATTCGGAACCTAAAACCTGGAATATACATTTATATATTATATAATATTTTGTATAGATTTAGTTGGCAGTGTAAATTAAGCTTAGAAAGATGTATATAGGGTGTTAATAGATGTGGTTAACAACAGACAGCGACATCTATAGTTTATGTAGCGCGACTTTACCTATATAGACTATTGTGTATATATATTAGCGATGGTATATAAAAGATATAATATTAAATATACGTTGGGAATGCTCTGTTATATGAAATTGATTAGCATCTGCTGTTTTGTGTACATTAAGACAAATTCAACAAGAAATATTTATTTTGAGTTACAATGTGATTTAAAACTTAGTAATCTCTACTAATATTATAAATGCGAAAGTAACTCTGTCTGTCTGTCTGTTACGCTTTCACGTCTAAACCACTGAAGTGATTTTAATGAAATTTGGTACAAACATAGAGTTGACTTTGAGAAAGAACATAGGATAGTTTTTATGCCAGACTTTTGAAAGGTTCTCTTGGGAGCGCGATATAACCGAACTCTAGTAAATATAGTATATATATATATATTGGAGTTATTAATACTGACGGTAGCTATACATCCGTAGTATTGTCCCATAGTGAGCAGGAAAACCTTGTCCCCGGGCGGATAGGCCTCCAGCGGCGTCCTGTACTTGAGGGGCGCGGCGGGGGCGAGCGCTCCACGCACGACCGTCTGCCACGCGTACCCGCAAGGCACTGAACACCACTGCTCCTCCATCACCATACTAATGTTATCTTGTATCACGTACTTGTAGCCTGTAAGAGGAAATTTAATTAGGAATATATTAACAAAGTAGCCTATGTCTTATTCCCGGACGTCAGCTTCATGTATACAAAATTTTATCAAAATCGGTTCAGCGGTTCGAGCGTGAAGAAGTAACAAACATACTCACACAAACTTTTGCAATTATAATATTAGTAGGATGTAATTAGAAATACGAATTCTCACTTATGTTATTAATTTTCTTAATCAAATTAACTATCACAGTTTATAAGCTATGTTTATTTTCACTAGTCATCATAATAAGTAATTATTATTTCACCCTCGACATTCTGGTTAAAGTAGTACACGACTAGTGACAATCATTGATATATTATATTAATATTTTAATTAAAATTAGAAAAAGTATAATGGAAAGTTTATTAACTTGAGCGGAATCGAACCGATGAACCCCGTCATTTTATATTGTGATCGCTTTAAAAATTGAGCTACCGTGCCAAATTATAAATATTTAATACCAATTTTGTATAATATTTAATAAAAACCAATTTGTATTGAAATAGTGGTTCGGGCTCGAGTAAAGTTTAAATCACGATTTAAAAACGTAGTTACTATACTGTAGGTAGATTGAAATTCTGTTTAGATTATCTACTAATTAATTACTTATAGGTACTAGTACAAAAACTATTTTAAACAGCATAAATACTGACTGAAATTTTCACATTTATTGCAAAAAGCCTTAAAATTATTTGTGTAATATAAAAAGAGTAACGATAAGTGTTATCTATATACTAAGTTTGTTCAACGTTAGCCAGATTCAATATTAAACAATGACTTTTAAAAACTACCTTCATTTTAAATAACTTATGATTCAAGTCAATTAATTATACCTATTTTTATTGTTATCTTAATCATTATTGTAACATACCTCGTAAATTGACAGCATGTATTATAACTTTGACGTCTCCTAACTCTATGCCGAGACGATTCATGTTGCTGAAATATAAATTAAATTTCAATCTAACATATGATATTGGATAATAATATTAAATTTTCACCTTATTCTAAAACATAAAAATTAAAAAAAACTGTTATTACCTATATTTAATATGTGAATGTGATTAAGAGTAAAAACAACTTTTTATTCTAATGTTAGGTAGTTATTTCTATTTTATGCACTCCATGCTACAATAATAGTTTAATTGTTCGGGCAAATTGCTTTAATAACACTGCTATACTTAAAGTGATATAAGCTGTTTATACATTTATGTACCTATAAAATCTACTTAATTGTGATATTTATTATATACTAGCTTTCCGCCCGCAGCTTCGCTCGCGCGGAGTTCGGTTATATCGCGTTTCCAAGAGGACCTTTCAAAAGTATGGAATAAAAACTATCCTATGTTCTGCCTCAAGGTCAACTCTATCTCTGTACCAAATTTCATTAAAATCAGTTCAGTGGTTTAGGGGTAAAAGCGTATTTTTCATTGTTTACCCCCCACAACCCCCTTGTGGGTGGAATTTCGTAAAATCCGTTCTTAGCTTTTTTTTTTTTTTTTGATGACGTAGTCGAAACTCTTTTTACGAGCCGTCCAACCGGCCTTGGTGGGGCCGGAAGGGATGTGTGAGGCTCGGCCTGGGCAGGCCCCTACTCACTAAAACCACTGCGAAAGCCATCGGCCGCTATGTCGGTGTACCCCGGATCTGTCAGCGACAGGGCACACCAGCGACTGGCCGGTCCTGGCAAAGACCGGACTTACTCCCTCGGAGAATGGGGGCGATCCCGGCAATTAGGACCACCCCGACGACGCCGGACTTTCAATAGGGCCGGGTTACCACGCCGACCCCAGCCCGGAACACAGGGGTGCTATTGGAGGCGTAGGAATTGCCTCCGTCGCACCCCCGTACGTCGCCTGCGGTTCTTAGCTGACCTATACTCGGCGAAAGTAATAATCCTACCAAATTTCAAGTCGCTACGCCTTATGGTTCCAGAGACATCGTGATGAGTCAATATACAGGGTGACTGGTGAATTACTATCAATATTTAAGGAGCATACTCGGTACATGATTCTCATTCGAATTATGTAAAAAAATAGGTACTTAATTTTTGACCAAATTTCCGTATAAATAAATAAACTGTGGACACGTTCCAAGTGTGGACGCGTGCGGCGGCGTGCTGTAATCTGTAGGGTGTTCATACGATGCGTAATTAATTACATAACTTTTGGTTAACTCTACTTAGAAGTTTATTAATATTTACCTTATATTAATTTTATTTTGTTATATATGATCGTCAAATATCACGTCCTCAAATATCGATAGTAATTCACCAGTCACCCTGTATAGGTGGAAATCTCTTTTATATATACACACACATATATATATAATGTATACTAACTGTTCTATAATGGTAGATCTCTCCGATATCCACTGCTGGTGAAGATTGCCAGTGTTATGTTCAGTAATGTAAGCCTCAGGGTTCTGGTTGTTGTAGTGAAGACGAACCTTCTCGTTAGATATTGATAATACTCTGAAACATTATGTAGATGTTATTAAATAAATATCAATATTAATATTTTATTTGCAAGCTTTATTTTCTTAGTGACTAGACTGTTAATCGTTTATGAGGTTTAGAGCAGTTTGATGTAAAACTAATATTTAATTTAATTATTATATCTCATCTGCCCGTGATCACGGTTGCTGCAAAGTGACCGAAACGTCGGGAGTATGGAGTTAAGAATTATTATTAAAACGTTGTATAACAGAAAAATATGAGTTTACTTAGATTAGATCTCATTAGAGCACTTGTTTAAGTCAATTAAGAACAAATTATTTTTATCATTTTTTAAAAAGCCGACATAGTTATAAATTAACGACTTTTAAGGATTTTTTATCACAATTAGCAATAAATTAAACACTAAATAATTACTAATTGTGAAAAATTTTCCTTAAAACTCGTCAATTTAGAAAATATTTCAGCTTAAACTTTCTTTTGATAATCTGCTTCAAATGTAGATACGCGGAATTACCCAATGCTAGTTACGGGGCTTGCACTATAGTCAGTGGTGGCCTAGTGGTTAAAAGGCCGCCTCTCATGCATGAGGGCTGATCCTGACCCGAGCAAGTACCAATATAATTTTTCCGAGTTATATGTACTTTCTAAGAGTATTTAGACATCACTGATTAATGCATTCCCAAAGAGGATTGATGTCAGGCAGGCGGGCGGTCGTAAAAACGATTAGCCAAAACTATTTACATGTAAGGCAGACTCTGACTAAAGCTGGGAAATTGCCATGAAGAATTACGTGGATTTTCGCTATCCCCGAATATGTATACTTACTTGGCCCGTGTTAAATGCGGCCAGCCAACCCAAACGACTTTTCCCAGTATTTTTGGAGCAAGTTCCTCTAGTACAGGGTCAGTATTATCGGTGGGTATTATCTGAAGCATCATGTTCTCATTGCGAGACGGCTGGTCGAATACCTTCACTTTGCACTTCTTTATACTCGTCTGCAATAATATTTATATATTACTGGTTTAATAACATTATGTTCTATTATAATTAAATAGTATGTGAGTCCCACGAATAAGTGATACTTGTAAATCCACTAAATTTGGAAATAATATATCGCCCTATTATATGTGTATCACATCAAAGTATAACAATAATGATACTAATAAATTAATTAATATACAAAAACAAGGACGTATTTCAGCTAATTTCACGCTCACACTATTTACTTCGTTCTATAGCAACAATACCATGCGCATACGCTGGTAATCAACCGACATACTCTCTTTCTTTCTCCAACAAGGTTGCGTTAAATGTTTAACGCAACCTTGTTGGCAGTCGCATAAGAAGTTTCACTCCAAAAATATTTTCTACTAGAAAAAAATACCATTATTGTCATTTATACCTTATATTTCAAGTGTCTCATTGTTGGAAATCCCGGGTACAGTATATCCTTGTTAGCGTTGGGTAACATCCCTCTCTTCAACATATGTAGCGGTACATCTATTTCGTGTCGCCACACAGCCTTTTCAACGGCGTGGTTTTCTTTAATTGACGGGAAATATTCCGGAGCTATTATAGGACCTGGAATTAAAAAAGAAATATTTGTTAAGGACTTTTATATAATACACATATTTATAAATATGTATATGAATAAATGAAAGCCATTAAAGTTCTAAAATATAGGTTCGACGTACAGTTTCATATTCGTTTTACAATATTCAGCGTTACTTCCAATAATGTCCTACAAAATATGTGAAGCCAGAATTTAAAGTTTTCAAATACAGGTTGATACTTAAATGTTGCCTTATAAAATTACGATGGTTCAGTATGATGAATTAAAATCAGTCATAAAAATAGTTCTAAGGATTATAGTATATGTAATTTGATTAGTGTTGCACAGATGGCGCCACTTGTAACAATATAATATTCACCTAAACTATCAGGCGTCCAGTTATAAACTAACATAGGTCCGTGAGAATTTCTTTTCAATTCTTCTTCTGTGAGTCGCTGGTAGCAAGGAGACATCGCCGATAGGAGGTTCGTCTGGACAGAATAATATATATTTTATATAACATTCATATATTATGAGAAAATATATAGATATCGTTTTTAATCTGGTTAATAATAGTCAAGTTGCCAAGCGGAGTTTATTGATTGTTTACGATCATAGTCAAGTTACGGTTAGCGTGGTACAAACTTGGAAGGGTGAACATTTTAAGTGTTAATATTATAACTTATTAAGCTGCTAGATGTTAGATAGGAGAATGTCTCGGTAACCTACATAATTTGTTAATAAGGTTATAATCTATATGTATATATACGAATACTTTTCAAACCATCAAACCATTTGGTACATTATTCTCCAAAAATGACGTATATTTTTTGGTAAAGCTGATGAATACAGACACAAATGTTTGAGTAAATTAGACTCACACAATAATTATTATAGCGCATTATAGTACAGACATTCGATTTCATTAAACACACAATCACAAAGTAGACTCACTACATAACAATAAACACTTTAAAGCGCTTTACGCTAGATAGTATAGAAATTCAAGTTTCCTTCATCGCACAATTGTTTGAGTCGTAACATAACAATAAATATTTTAAAGCGCTTTACGCTATACAGGGTGACTGGTGAATTACTATCGATATTTGAGGACGTGATTTGTGACGATCATATATGACAAAATAAAAATTAATATAACATAAATATTAATAAACTTCTAAGTAAAGTTAACCAAAAGTTATGTAATTAATTACGCATCGTGTGAACACCCTACAGATTAGGTATACACATACACTCACACAGACGCGGCGGCGGCGTAGTGTTGTATCAGCACGCCGCCGCACACGTCCACGCTTGGAACACTTGGAACGTGTCAACACTTTATTTATTTATACGGAAATTTTGTCAAAAATTAAGTACCTATTTTTTTTACATAATTCGAATGAGAATCATGTACCGAGTATCCTCCTTAAATATTGATAGTAATTCACCAGTCACCCTGTATAGTACAGACATTCGATTTCATTAAACACACAATCACAAAGTCAGTGGTGGCCTAGTGGTTAAAAGGCTCGCCTCTCATGCAAGAGGGCGCGGGTTCGATCCTGGCCCGGGCAAGTACCAATGTGATTTTTCCGTATCATATGTACTTTCTAAGATTATTTAGACATCACTGATTTATCTGATTCCCAAAAAAAAAGGGTTGATGTTAGGCAGGCGGCCGGTTTTTTTTATGTTATAGGTGGCAAACGAACAGACGGCCCACTTGATGGAAGGTGGTTACCGTCGCCCATGAACATCCGCAACAAATATGTTGCGGATGCGTTGCCAACCTTTTTTTAGGGATAGGGAAGGGTGGGGATAAGGAAAGGGCAACCGGCTCTCTCACTCATCGGACGAAACGCAGTCATTACAGACTACTTCACGCCGATCTTCTGTGAGAGGGCGGTACTTCCCCGGTCGAGCCAGCCCATGTTCGAGCTGTAGTAACTTAACCACAGCTAGGCTCTACCACCTATAACCAGGGCCGTTTTATCCATTAGGCATTATAGGCAACTTCCTAGGGGCCCTGCCACGTTCAGGGGCCCCTGTGCTACAGGGAAAAGAATGGGCAATGTTTCTTAAACAGTAAAAAATTAATTTGAAAATTTGCTCTGTACATTACATCGACGCTATTTTAGTACATTTCGGAACGCATTCCTTATTAGATATTATTATTATGATTATTATTATAGTTTAATTAGTTTATATAGTTTAATTTAAAAAATTAATTAAAAACTGTCTTCGTTCAACGACGTCTCAAAACCGTTTAAATTCACTGGCTATAATGGCAATTGAAAATGACCTGTTGGAGAAGATTACCTTTCAGGATATCTTGAACGATTTTGTATCAAAAAAAGTTAGAAGAGTTAATATTTAAGCTGTGTATGTTTTGTTTTAAATGCATAAATAAACATTCTGTTCATTTGATTCAACATTTTTATTGAATAATATGATGATATACCCAGGTTAGTAAAAAACGGTGTAATTTTGAATTTTGTAGTGTTAACGAAAAAATTAGAAGAGGGTAGGGGGCCCTGGGTGAGCATTGCCTAGGGGCCCCGACAGGCATAACCCGGCCCTGCCTATAAAAATTAGCCAAAACTATTCACAACAATTAGCCAAAACTATTCACAACATGTAAGGCAGACCCTGGCTGAAGCTGGGAAATTGCCAGGTAGAAGAAGACACAATCACAAAGTAGACTCACTACAGAACAATAAACACTTTAAAGCGCTTTACGCTACATAGTATATTCAAGTGTTCGTTTCCATTGTCTCACCTCGTCTATAAAGGGCAGGAGGACCACAGCCTCCCAGTCGTTCTTCTTCCCGTTGAGATCCGTCTCGAAGGTGACGGGGTAGTAGTGGACTATGGGCGAGTCTTCGTCCGTCATTAGATCGTGGAATGGAGTCGGTAACAGGTGCTTACTGGCGCCTGGCAATACTGCTAGCAACTATAACAGATATATAACGATAAGGATTAAAAAAACCTCGTACATAGCCGTAAAAACGTATACAAAAAATAACAACAACTTTTTTATGACAAATATAATTAATAAGTACTAGTTTTGGCCCGCGACTTCGCTTTAATTTCGTCATTAGTAATATATGTATAGCTGACCGGGCGAACTCTATTCCGTCTTAAATAATCAGGTATTGGCAGTTATTAATTTTTTCCCGTTTCAATCGAACAGAATGATTGACATATTAGGTAGTTGTCAAATTTAATGTCAAAAAAACGTTTGTATGGGAAAAAGAAGAGGGCTGTTTTAAGGGTTTTCCCGGAAATGAATCTATTTTTTTCAACTTTTAAACCTTGTCTGATCCTCCACGAACATTTCAAGACTAAAGTAAGATAAATCCGTTCAGCCGTTCTCGAGTTTTAATGAGACTAATGAATAGCAATTCATTTTTATATAGATTATGACAAAATATAAGAAGATATCTGGAAAAACTGGAACGATATTACATACTAGGACAACATATAAAACTATAATCCCCGATTTCCTTATTCGCTTACATTTCATTGAATAAAAAAAATATTTACATCTCGTCTGCTCTTGACTATGATAAGTACTGATTACGACATGTAGCATAATAAATATAATATTGTTGACAAACTAAAACTACGCCAATCCTCACCATCGATCTTTCCTACTATGGCCAATTCGAGACTATAATAATGACTGCAAACAAACAAGAGCTCATTTTGTTAGTTGTCACTAGTTAGATTAAGATATAGTTCGAGACTTTGCAAAACAGTAAAGTGAAAAAGTGTTAAATTAGCAATATTAGGAGATCACTGAAAATCAGTGTAGAAGAAACATTGCTTCTATTTTTTACTGAGTGTTTCTCCTTTTGGTTAAATTACAGTGCTGCACACTTATTATTACTGTTATTGATTTTTAACTTAATATTTGTCTTGTTGTATGTAGTTGTTATGTTATTTTATTTTCCTTTTTTACTATGTATAAGTGTTACTCTATTTTTAATTTGTTGTTTGTTATTTGTTTTGTAGTGGTATAATCTTTTAACCAATAAATGTTTATTACTATTATTATTAAATTACTAAATCACTGTTTAAAGTGATCCAATGATTATTTTGTTAAGAAATTCATATTTCGTTGAAACTATTATATTAATAATATAATGTATCTTAGGCTTTAAGTGGATTAAGTACAGTGTACACTCTTGTTTATTATTCTAATCATGTCACCTGTTCGAAGGGCTTGAAAGGTTCCCCAAGTTCAAACTCCATATTCATGTTCCCAAAGTCTTTAATGTCCGATATGTATGGAGCGTAGTGGTGAGGGTAATACCAACACCAAGAGGGACAGCCTCGGTAGTAGTACCATAGGTTCCATTGGATGGCTCGGACATAACACTCCGCTTGATCTGATAGGACCTCGCTGGGGAAAATAATAATAATTATTATTATTTATATATAATTATCATACTTTACTATAGTTATTGAATTAATAAAATATTTATGATTCATGAAAAATCATAGAGTAGATTTTGTTTGAGTGATTATAAATAACACTCTATTTATTCTTATATTGTTATACTATACTGGATTATTATTGTGTACATATAATAAATGCTGAATTTATGGTATGATTGAATTTTTTAATTCTATAATTTGTCATGAAACTTTATGCTATATTAAAATGTATACATTACATATATAATATCCGTATATCTTTGGAGTAGATAAACAAGATTTGAAATAATTAAAAGAAAAATCTAGTGTACACTTATTTTTTGGTTTTCTATATGTATTATGAATGATATTTCAATAAACTTACTCAGTAACTTTTGAATAGTCCAACTTATTCATGTAATAATCTTTCTTGTGTAGAATGAATTCCATTTCCATGTTTGCTTCCTCTGAAAAAATTTAATATCGAGATATAACTAATAATTAGTGCTAATTAATATATAACAATAACTAATAAAAATATTATTTTACCATCACTAGTTTCTTCATATTCCTCATCACTCTTCATGTCATCCATAAACTGAAAACAAGATAAAATATTAAATTATAATACTCTAATTTATACTAGCTATTATCTCTGACTTTGGAATCAAAGGAATGCCAATATTTCAAGACTTGGACTTTATGTTAAAAAAACTTGTTTGGAAATCAGCTCTTAATTGAAGAAATAATAGGTTTACAAAGTAATAGTTGAAATGAGAACTTAATATTCATTGATGTCAGCTGCAAGATAGCCTATGTTTCTCCTTATGACATCACCTATGTAAGAATGGAATTCTGTTCAAAATCGGTTCAGCAGTTTAATAGATTAGCCATAACAAACAGACAGACGGCCAAAATATAAATGTTGTTGATTGGATGCAAGTATTGTATATACTTTCATATGTGATACCTGTTACATATGCGAAACATATTAAAAAATATAGAACATAGAGCAATAGAATGTCATTGTCATCCTAACGTCGGGACAATCATGTAGTCTTACGTATAGGTTATAAATTTTAATATGTAATTCTTATTATAATACTAGCTTTCCGCCCGCAGCTTCGCCCGCGTGGAGTTCGGTTATATCGAGTTTCCAAGAGAACCTTTCAAAAGTCTGGGATAAAAACTATCATATGTTCTTTCTCAAGGTCAACTCTATCTCTGTACCAAATTACATTAAAATCAGTTCAGCGGTTTAGGCGTGCAAGCGTAACAGACAGACGGACAGAGTTACTTTCGCATTTATAATATTAGTAGGGATAAGTAAGTTTAACATAAAAGTAAGTTTCGAACCTCGGGTGGCCACCCTACTTAATTTACGTCAAAACATGTTTATTTAAATTTAAAATATTATTTATTATTATATATCTGCCTACCATTTCCTGTGTAGCATCAATAAGAGCCTGCAGCTCGTCATCTGGCTTATTGGCTTTTATGTCGTCCAAGTTGACGTTGAATGTGTCGTCATTGTTGGGCTTGTACTGGAAATAATACATTAAAACATAGTATATATAAAAGAATTGTTGTTAAAAACAAATGTTTATTGTACAGAAAATAGGATAAAAATGTGTTTTTAATAAGACTGTTATATTATCCTACATATGTTCTTTCCTTATTCTTTTTATTGTAATTAATTCTTACAGATAGTAAAAGTCGTTAAATAATATAGAAATATAAGTCGCTACAACAAGTATTGTTAAAATAATCTTAATATAACTCAGTTTAAAAACTAATAAAATGAAAAGTTATTTATATAATCTCACTATACTTACATCTTTCCTTTCGTTAGCGTTAGGCCGTCTGCCAGTTTTGGCTTCAAAGTATTTGAGATCAGCGTAAGTGTCTTGAAATTTCTCTTTATCAATCTTAGCTAGCTCCTGCATGAATACTTCAAACCTTCGTAAATTCAGATCTCCTGATTCATTTATATAACCTGTAATGTTAAGTAATATTTAGTATTTTCTTGTAATAATATCGGTTTTAGATTTTCGATACCAGCATGTATTAGATCTTATCAAGATTCATGAAAGTTTGATTGTTTTAATAATTTTATAAACTATTTGTTTCTCAATAAATAATGGATGAACATGTCAGTCAGTGGTGGCCTAGTGGTTAAGAGGCCAGCCTCTCAAGCTCGAGGTCACGGGTTCGATCCTGGCCCTGGCAAGTACCAATGTGATTTTTCTGAGTCATATGTACTTTCTAAGAGTGTTTAGACATCGTCGTAAAAACAAATAGCCAAAACTATTCACAACATGCAAGGCAGACCCTGGCTATAGCTGGGAAATTGCCAGGTAGAAGAAGAAATAATGTATGAATATAAAGTAAATGAAACATTAATATTGATTTATTATTTATGTATTTAACAGTGTAAATACTCACCATCCAAAGTAGGTAAGACAGTCATATATGTTTTATAAAGAAGTGGTAGAGCATCATTACTAATATGCATGTTAGGCAAATTTGGTATAAAATCATTGCCCACTAAGAATCCCATGAGAACCCAATCGTCGATAATATTTTCTATATCATAAGGAAACGGCAATTTATCTTTGATGGATATGAATTCTTGTTCCAAATATTCCCTAAGTAATGATAGGTGGAGCAGATAGAAATTAGTTTCTTCAGGGCTTGTTGCTCTTTGAGTTGTTTTGCCAAATTTAACCTGAAAAATATTAAAATAAGAGCAAATCTTGTATGTATGTTGAATATAATTTAATTTCTGTCAAATATACTACCTCTTCTCTAAGTAAAGCAAAGTGTGGTTCATGTGTGCACACTCCTAACATAATGAGATCTGCGTCGAGTCCATACAAGCAATGTCTTGTGCTAGGATCATAGTCGGGCTGCGAGCGAGCCCAGCGAATGTAATCCATTATTTTATGTTCTCCTTCACCCGGTGTCTGTAACAGAGAGAAATATGCTTATAATTATTGTGTAAATTCTACTTATTAATTAATTAATAATTCTAATATAATAAAGGTTTTTTTTTTTATATTTTATCACTTTTATTCTGTTGAATTTGCAATTAATTTTAACAAATCGTCGGAGATACCATTGGATAATTCCGCATATCTGCATTTTAATAAAATTATTAGAAGATTTTGCTGAAATATTTTCTAAATTAATGGTTTTTAAGATAATTTTTTCACAATTAGTAATTATTTAGTGTTTAATTTATATAAGTTTGACGTGGAAGTATGTGTCTGTCTAAAGCGTCGTTAGCTATAAGACGAATATGCCGATTTTGATGAGGTATTTTATCCTTAAAAGCCAACTTTACAGTGCATTTTATTATTTCCGCCTAATGTGAATATTGTTCTTGTTTAATTATATCAATGGTTTTGTTTAGAATTAAAATTCACATAATAAATACATTAAAAGTTAATAGGATAATCATTAAATTTTTTTAACAAGACATGTCTTAAATTATAAAAACATGATTTTCTTACAAAACCTCATCTGCTTAAATTTGTTTTTTATTACTAAATAACAAACATTCCTGATTTTTTATTAGTATTTGTAGATATATTTATAAGTTTTGGAATTTACCTCATGTCCAGATAGAATAACTTTAACTTTGGACCAAAGAGGGTCCGTTGAAATCTTCTCTTTGATAAAATATTTGAGTTGTTCATGAAGACGAGCCATGAACACTGTTCCTGGAGTGATACAGTTGCTATCAAACCTCTTTTCCGTCGGTAAATCCTCACCTGTTTAAGAAAATTTGTAAGTTGCATTCACTATCCACTAATAAAACTATAATTCCTTAAAAATGAATATGATAGGATTTAATTTTAAACAGAAGCAAAGAAAATTTAATGCATATCCTTTAATAATAAAAGATGTTGCAATGTGTTTATAAAATATTGTGTAACTGTAATCCGAGACAAAACTCAAGTTAAATTAATTAGAGAAAAAGTGATGTTTTCTATCAAAAATATATAAATAGTCAGAAAGTATAATACAGACCCTTTTCTTTAGCTGTTTCTTCTAACTTTTCAGCCTCCCTGGCTGAACGGAATCTATATAATATTAAAGGAAATTATTTAGAAATAGTTCAATGAATTTAATATATATTTTTCTATTACAAATAATTTTAAACAATAAGAAACTATTGATTGATACATCATTTTATAATGAAAATGTAAGTTATAAATTCTAAATCAAAGAAAGAATGTTTATATCAAATGCTTCAATACATTTTGTCAATCACTTCGTTGATAACTTCTAAGCAAAGAATTCTTATTAATTCTACAATATTTTATTATTTTATTATGAGATTGAAGTTATATTTTCTCACCTCCTTCCCCTCTGCTGATTCATTTTAGCTCTCGGAGCTACTCCATCGATAGCCATAAAAAATAGCTTCTTGGGCTTAATAATTTGAAACAAAATGCTGATGTAGTGGAATATGTCTTTGAAGATCTTCTCCTCCGTAATACGGAAATGTGGATTTGAATCATCAGGATGAGAACAGTTGTGTATGATACCATTCATATCCAGATACATGTTGTCGAAATCTGGAATCTGTAACAGAAACGATGGTTAAAATAAGACGATACATATGTATGGCTTTCGTTCTGTTATAATTGAATGATATCGACAAGATTTCGAGGTGGAAAAAAGGCGGTAGAAATTAGATGTATTAATTTGTAACTTAAAGAATGAAAACAAACCTGATACTGCTTAACTAACTCATTAAGACAAGGATACCGTTCACTTGTGTATCTAAAAAACTTCGGTACCCCCATTTTTCTCTAAGCTTGCAAATTTGGTGGAGAATATACAGCGAAACCTTATTTACAAGTAACCTAATTTATATTATCTCTAAGTATCGAAGACTAAATGAAAATTTTCAGTATTTCTAATTAATTAAGTTATTATTCATTGTGGCACACTAGCACAGTGTTAGGCAATTAAATACGATTATTTGCTTTGGCTGTTCCACAAAACAGATTGACGGCAAAATACGATTGACTTGATTATGATTTATGACACAGATAATGATTTAGTTTTGAAAGAAAGTGAGAAAAATGAAGTGGTTAACAGATTTTTTACATTAAATCCGATAGTATGGTTAAGAGACTAATAAAGTAAAATACATTTATTTATATTTTTAATAATTTAATAAAAGCCTATTTCCGTATTTTCGCTTTCACCATTTTTGCCACAGACTATATAAAATTAAACATCAACATTTTAGATAATTGTTGTTTACTTGTAGGTTGACAGTTTACGTACTTGATATTCCTTAAATATTTATAGTTTGTTTTAAATTGCAATAATAGCACTTACTGTTTGTCAAAATCATTTTAATAAATAAGCCTTCAACTTTCAATTATTAAAAATTAAAAAAATAAATTTGATTATCAGGTAACCTAGAACTGTATATCTGACTACTAACATATCTAAGTGTACAAGACAATGGAAAGTGACGATCTTGGTGGTGATTTGGTGAGATTGGATGGTGGTTGGGCCGTTGACGAGGAAACTTACGTCGTTAACACTGATGACGTTCTAGGTAAATAGCTGAGTACTTTTTAAGTGACACGAATATTATTGTTTTAATTTACTTCTAAAACGTTATTTCCATTCAGAACAAGAGGAGAACAATTCAGATTCAAACAGCGGTGGAAAAAATGTTCCCCTTAGAGAACAAGATCGTTTCCTACCCATTGCAAACATCGCCAAAATAATGAAGAGAGCAATACCTGAAAATGGAAAGGTGATATGACCAATTCTCTCGTAAAGAAATATTCTAATGGCTGTGATTATTATCATAAGATGATGTTGTCCTTAGAATGTATTTTGTCCATACATAATGCGAAAAATATATTTCAGATTGCTAAAGATGCAAGGGAATGTGTTCAGGAGTGTATATCAGAGTTCATTTCATTTATAACAAGTGAGGCGAGTGATCGCTGTCAGATGGAAAAGAGGAAAACTATTAACGGTGAAGATGTTTTATTCGCTATGAACGCACTCGGCTTCGACAATTACGTAGAGCCATTGAAGTTGTATTTAAAGAAGTATAGAGAAATTGTTCTATCACCTGTAAGTTCTTAAACTTGTATAGAAAATTATACTACATATTTGAACTTTTGTTATTATATGTCATTTTATTTTCAGGTAACGATCAATAAGTTAAACAAAACAATTGTTTTATATGGAAGTAAGTATTCTAGAAGCAAAACAAATATTGTTTTTATAAAATGTATGTTATATCTATTTAAATTTTTATAGGTGATGGCACACAATGTGTGGCAAACGATAATGACTCGGAAACACAAACCCAAACAGTTATATATGGATATCCTAAAGTTATCGGAGACTTTACAATATCTTAAGTCCTTTTGGAGTAGATTTAAAATAAAATTAGTTTGTATAAGTGAAAACATTTCTTAGAATTTCATGTCTGATAATTTTTACAATGTAAAATTTTTCTGAAAATAATTTTGTTTAACAATATTCAGTTAAATTGTTTTAAATATTTTTGTATGTGATGAACTAATTTTTATGAATTTCTGTGTTCACATAGTATGTTTGTTATAAGTCAATGTTTTCATTTGTTAAAATTATCAGTGTGGTATTTAATTTCAATATAAGTGTATCAAAAATGATTTTTATTGTTTATCTTTTTTCATTTCACTAAAAATCAATTATTTTAAATCATTTTATTTAACAGAATTAAAAATACATCTATATCAACAAAAAATTAAGTAATATATTGTAATTAAATAACCAGACTGTGTTTTACATAGTGTTTTAAGAAAACCAAGGAGAAGTTGAATAGAAATAATAAATAAGTTATAAAGATTTAATATAAGTAACAGAATCAATTATGGAGTTTTATTTTTCATATAAATGTGTACGTATATACATATATATATATTTCTTTTCTTGCAGAACCTTAGTATAATATAAAGTATATCATACTATTACATAACCCAAATCATGTTTCTCATTGATAATTAATTTGAATTTTTACTTAAAACCTCAAAATTCAAGATTAAGCCTAAAGAGATACTAATTTTGTAAATTTGGTATTCAAGAAATAAAATACAAGAATCATGAAAAAATATTTTATTTTTCTAATTGTTAAATAAAAGCTATTAAATATCTAATTAAACTATTATAAATTTGTTTTTCATCACTTTACAATAAATAAACCATTTATTGAAAGAATTAAATGTAATAAAAATTATTATTGTTGATTATTTATTTTATTTTAACAAAGATATGCCGAAATTACTCATACAAAGAAAATTACTATTAAATTTCATATACAAAGCATCTATTCCCTAAATTTATCCACAATATATCCGGGTAGCGGTATTAAGTACAGAAATTTATTAAGAATAATAATTCCCAATGAGAATGCGAAGGAAATACCTAAATTGAATTCCATATTAAAATCTCCACTCTGATAGATGTCGCCAGCGTAGTTCTTTGGCGTGAAACGTTCAGTTAAGAAGGCTTTACCGCTTGGATAACGACAATTAGCGTTGGAGTTTGCGTTAATATTAGATGATGTTTGTATGAGATTTGTTATGGATGTACAGTTCTCATTGTCACTGTATGGAAGAATGTTGAATGTGGGTTGCTTGAAGACACTCCTGTGTAGGAATATTGAAGCGTACCGAGTGTGTGTCAAGTATGTTAGATAGAACATCCAATCCTCGTAGCCTTTGTAAGATCTGAAAATAAATACGTCAATACAATTGAAGCATTATGAAGTAGATAAAGCTTTCTGACATATTAATATTTGTATCTATTTATTAATTCCCGTGACTTCTTTTACGTGAAATTAATATTTAGTTTGAGGGAGACACATAATATGTGACACAGTGCATAGAAAATATTATTATCAACCGACAGCGCCATCTATCGTCTGTATCATGACTTCATACATTTATAAGAAGTTTAGTTGTCTTTATTCAGCCAGGATTACAGATTTACACGTTATTTGAAATATGATTAATTGAAAATAATGTAATACTATTATATTTATACCTCAACACTCCACTCGCGAGTATAACGTAGACGCAGGTAATGTATATATTGATGAGGGCGGTGATTAGGTCGTCCTTAACGAACATCATGATGGCTATCGTCTGTTGTTCAGCATAGATGTAGCACGACCATAGGATCAGAGCGAACTGTAGGAAGGCCATACCTTCAGATATGTCTCCCAATATCCTGAATGATAGTAAACAATATGAAAATAACTCATAATATAAACACTATTATTCTTTAATTGTAACTATACTATAGTTTTGTCGTTTATTTGTCTCCTAGAATCCTGGATAAATAACAAATAATATGAAAATAACTCATAATATAAATACTTTATATTTTATTATTCTTTAACTGTAATATTAATTTGATTTTGTACCCACATAGTTATGGAAATTATGTAAGAATCATGTTTATTCAAATATATTTAAGATTGATGAAAAACATTTTATATATTCTTTTACATTCTTTTGTATAAAAGAGGCAAATGTTGCTCTATTTTCTTGTTCATCATCAACAAATGCTTTAACAGTATCTGTTCTATTCATTTTTCTTTTACCTGGCAATTTCCCAGCTATAGTCAGGGTCTGCTTTACATGTTATGAATAGTTTTGGCTAATTGTTTTTACGACCGGCCGCCTGCCTGACATCAACCCTCTTTGGGAATCAACATTAATCAGTGATGTCTAAATAAATACTCTTAGAAAGTACATATGACTCGGAAAAATCACGTTGGTAATTGCCAGGATTGAACCCGCGCCCTCGTACATGAGAGGCGGGCCTTTTAACCACTAGGCCACCACTGACTATCTGTTATAAACATTATTTATTTATATTTAACTTACGGATAGACTATAGCGGCTGCGGCGAGGCTTGTTAATAGCGAGGCTGGTAATGAAACCAGTGACCAGGCAAGAAGTGCGCTGGCCCCGGAGTACACGCCCGCCTCGCTCTCACAGTAGTAACGAGACCGGTAAGGACCGACTGAAGATATTATGAACGGAATGAATGAAAAGAACGAAATGAACAGGGAATGAAGATCGATGAAATTTTAATGACATGGGTTATATTATAGTATTTGAGACGAAAAGGTGTATTTATTTGTGGATATGTTTGTTTATTGTTCTTTTAAGTGACGTCGATTTCGGTTTTGGTGTAAAAAGTAAGTTTGCAAGTTAGTTTGCATTTTAAGAATATTGATTTGCAATAAGATCTTTTTGTCTCACAAATATTTAAATTTTCATCGTGTAAAATTTATTATGGGAAATTATACCGACTTCATATAAAGTTATAATTTGAAATATATGTACATATAATCATTAATATGTTGGCAGTAAATAGTAAATACATGTAATATTTTTCAAGACATATATGTATATGTTTAATTTGTTTTACTTTGAAGTCCACTAGCGCTGTTACAAACAAAGTGGAATTACTTAAATTCAAAATAATTTAAAAATATCAATTTGCATTAAAACGCTACTTACACAAACATATCGTGTTCAATATACTGATGAAGTACGTGCCGGTCATAGCGTTGAATATGAGACCACTCTTTGTTATGAAAGCTCTTTGATAGTCCTGTTTAAAAAAAATATTTAATTAATATAAATAAGAAATAATTCAAAGAATAAGAACGCTTATAATAGTAAAAAAATATAATAATAATGAAACTTATATTTTTTTGATTACTATGCGTATTTTATTATTTTAAGAAACTGCATAATCTCGACGTTTCAGTTACTTTGTAGCAACCGTGATCACGGGCAGACGAGATTAAAAATAAGCAAATAGAAAACAGTAAGTTGAAAAATATTAGTTTCATTCAAATGAATACTCGCAAAAGTCTTAGATCTCATTAAAAATATATAATATTCACCTTAGCGTCGTTATAGAAGATCCAAAGTATGAAAAAGTAAATCGGCATAACCAAGAGTCTCATGGACATTTGTTTGATGCCGTGTTTCCTTAAATTGAATATAGATGCTAGCGTGCGTCTGAAACGATAATACAATATTTAACACTCACTTAAATCACTTACTCGTTATAATATGCAAATTATTTTGAGAAATTATATTGTTTTTCGATAGTATTTATGACTGAAAAACTGTAATAATGCTAATAATAAGTTAACTATGCTATGTTTCAGTTGTATATAGTCGTAAATTTCTTAATAATACACAAGTTTCATACAAGTATAGCATCCATATAACTCGCACGCCGCTGGGTTTTCCGTAGTTCATCTGTATCTTGTTAGGGTTGCTCCTTCCGTGTTCGTGAGGAACTCCTTCGGTTTTGAATTTCTCCACCAGGGCTGCGATCTGATGGTTCGACTCTATGAAGCGTTCGCGAGAACGACGGTCTACCGTTGACAGACACACTGAAACATTATAGATATACAGTGTAACTGGTGAATTACTATCAATATTTAAGGAGAATACTCGGTACATGATTGTCATTCGAATTATGTAAAAAAATAGGCACTTAATTTTTGACAAAATTTCCGTATAAATAAATAAAGTGTTGACACGTTCCAAGTGTTCCAAGTGTGGACGCGTGCGACGGCGTGCTGATACAACACCACGCCACCGCACGCGTATGTGTGTGTGTGAGTGTATACCTAATCTGTAGGGTGTTCACACGATGCGTAATTAATTACATAACTTTTGGTTAACTTTACTTAGAAGTTTATTAATATTTATGTTATATTAATTTTTATTTTGTCATATATGATCGTCAAATATCACGTCCTCAAGTATCGATAGTAATTCACCAGTCACCCTGTATATAAAAGAGATTTCCACCTATATATTGACTCATCACGATATCTCTGGAACCATAAGGCGTAGCGACTTGAAATTTGGTAGGATTATTACTTTCGCCTTAGAGCTCAGCTAAGAACGGATTTTACGAAATTCCACACACAAGGGGGGTTGCGGGGGCGTTAACAATGGAAAATACGCTTTCACGCTGAACCACTGAACTGGTTTTAATGAAATTTGGTACAGAGATGGAGTTGATCTTGAGAAAGAATATAGGATAGTTTTTATTCCAGACTTTTGAAAGGTTCTTTTGGAAACGCGATATAACTGAACTCCACGCGGGCGAAGCTGTGGGCGGAAAGCTAGTATATTTATATAATTATTTACACATATAAAAATTATCCAGTGTACATATTTAGCACTTAGAATTAAACTTACTTTCATAAATTTTGTAACTTTAGCATGTACAAATTAATAATGTCGTAATAGCATACATACATCATTTTAATGAAACTAATATTTTCGGATATACTACGCGATTTTTCATTTTTGACTATAAACTACATACCTACTCTCGATGTTTCGCCTACTTTAAAGCAACCGTAATCGCGGGCAGACAAGATGTAGTAATTCGTAGTAAATCCGAAAATATTAGTTTAATTTAAATGAGTACTCGCGAAAATCTTAGATATCATTACATACATACATCATACTAAACGAATTAATGACATAAGATTAGAAATGGTCATATAATTTAGAACAATTAATCACACGTAAATTGCGTACTTGGTCCCTCTTAAATAGCTACAAAAGATTTATAGTTTATGTTATAACTTATACTACACGAAAAACTATAATATATGACTTATTTGTTACTATTTAATTTGATATATTACTTACGGTAATACATAAGTGGGTTTTCAAGCTGTGGGCACGGGAATCCAATGCCGGTGAAATAGTCTAGCAGAGCGCGTGTAGGTCCCGCGTATACCGCGTCACCTAGACATAAGTAAACTACCCTGTCTAGGAAAGGGAAGACATCTGGAAGATAATACATCACATTGATGACACAAGTTCATAATCTGTTTAAAGAACATTCTAGAACATTCGAGAACATTCGATAGAATCAATGCAGAAGTTCCAAACATTTAACAAGCATTACCACACCAAAAAAGTCGTTATTATTTGCGATTTGTTATAATTGTTTCTAAAATTGAAATAAAGTTTGGAAGCTGTACCCTTTAAGATACAATTATTATCAAGTTTGAAAAAAGCAATACAAAACGACTAGAACTGTAGTTGATCATTTAAAATATCTGCACGTTTTAACACATTTAGCAGACATACTTCTACCTGGCAATTTCCCAGCTTTTAGCCAGGGTCTGCCTTACATGTTGTGAATAGTTTTGGCTAATTGTTTTTACGACCGGCCGCCTCCCTGACATCAACCCTCTTTGGGAATGCATTAATTACTGATGTCTAAATACTCTTAAAAAGTACATATGACTCGGAAAAAATACATTAGTACGTGCCAGGGTCGAACCCGCGCCTTAAGCATGAGAGACAGGCCTTTTAACCACTAGGCCACTACTGACTTAACACATTTAACAGACTTGCCAGACGCGCCTTAAGGCCTTTTAACCACTAGGACACTACTGATTTAACACATTTAACAGACCTGCCAGTCCAATCAATCATTAATATGAAAGTTTAATGAACCCACCAGATCTCGGTTTCTCCATGGTGAGTATGATGGTTGTGCCGTACTTCTTGGCGGCGTTGGACAGAATGGAAATCACTAAGTACGTGTTGAGTGGATCCAGGTCCCAGGTCGGTTCATCCAATAGTAAAATAACTGTGAATATCGTTTAAGATATGATAAAAAATTAAATAGTACACGAAAACTATGGTACATTAGAACTATGTATAGTAAACTACAACTACAGCAAATTGCAATTATACTAAACCACAACTATAGTACAACAAATGCTTTAGACTTAAGCTATTAATGGGAATTGTACACAACAAACAAGATATCTTTGTACTATATTTGTGTACTAGCTTTTGCCGCGACTCCGTCCGCGTGGAATAGTGACTTACGGCAGATTTTTGGTTCTTCCCATATAGTTCCCGTTCTTGTGGGGTTTTCGGAATGGTCGAGTTCCCGTAGAATTTTCAGGATAAAACCTATGTTTTTTTTATTCACAATGAAGTACTCTTAACCAACAACATATTTATTTGTTTATTTGAATAAAGATTAATATTATTATGTTGATACAACTTAAACAAATTATTTCGACCAAATTAGGTACCATAAAAACGGTTTTTGTGAGTTAATCTTAAAAGATAGACATATACTGCCGCGGACTGTTTTTTAGATCATTAAAAGAGCTATTATTCTTTAATACATATTTTTTGTGTATCTTGAACCGTTTTCACGGCGCACGCAACGGAAGGCTTCAAAGATGAAATAATTTCTCCCGTTTTTTACACATTTACCACTATATCTTTGCTCCTATTGGTCGTAGAATGATGTTATATAATAGCCTAAAGCCTTCCTCGATAACTGGACTATACAACAAAAAAAGAATTATTCAATTCGAACCAGTAGTTTCGGAGATTAGTGCTTTCAAACAAACAAACAAACAAACAAACTCTTCAGCTTTATAATATTAGTATAGATATTATTAGATTGATATTAGTTTTTATCACTTAAGTATGGGCTGTTTAAAATTTAATTATTCATTAATAATTTTTCTACTAGTAAATAAATAAAATCTTAATGTTATGGCTGATTTTTTATCTGAAAGTAAATTACATATATTAAACACATACATAAATTAAATTTAGCAAAAAAAATCTCAATATGTACTAAAATAGATCTACATATATTCGTTCATTACGTCTCTTTGTGAACAAAGTTATTTCAAAGTAACATTTAAATCAATTAATGGCCAATATAAGCAAAATACATTATTATCTATAATTTATATATTATACTTTATTATATATATACGTGTATATGCTTAATTACTCACTCGGATCTCGTATAAGTTGTACCCCGATTACAAGCCGCCTGTATTCGCTCTTAGTGAGACTCGTAACGCATTTGTTCGCTACCTAACAATGATATAGTTATTTTATTTAATAATTCATATACATTTTAGAAATACTTTAGCTTATATAATTTATGTTATATGTGTGCGTGGCATATTGTATGTGTGAGTGAGTGTGTTTGCTGTTAGTAGGTACCGAACAAGTTAGGATCAAATTTTACTTTGGTAAGTAACAAAGTAAATACTAACTTTTTTTAAATGAAAATACTCTAATTAATCTTTATTTAATATATACTTTTTCTGCAATATAAATAATTCATAATTTATAAGATTACCTGTGAAAGTGCTAAGTCAGCCATTACTTGCTTCACCTTCGAAGCCTTCAAGTATCCGGAGATCTGAAAATGTATTCAGGTGACCGTATGTATATATGTGTTTTATCATAATTTAATAAACTGTATATAGTAAAAATAATAACGAAATAGGCATTTAACTTATTTTCCAAGTTATAATTCGGAAGCCTTGGAAGGCTGTTGAAATGAATGAGCAATGAGAAGATCTGGATTTGTTTAATGTAACAAAATACTTCACTAATTACTTAATCCGTTATTCACACTCATTGTCCTACTAAAAATTTACGCGCCTGCGATTATTTAATACTCATCTCCAACATTCATTAGTGTAATTGCTATATTAAAACAACAGGCGTTGGGATTTTTTAATAATACATACTTTAGTGAGCGACAACGATAGTGTTTGTTGAACAGTGAGGCCTGGCATCAGTTTGGTTGAGTGTCGCACTAACGCGCAGGTATTCATGAACTGTTCTTTATCCAGCGGCAGACCTTCCAGCAGTACGTGGCCTTTTGAAGGTACCCTGCGACTTATTACGTCGAGAAGAGCGCGTTTACCACTACCTGTAGAGATAGTGATAATATTTAGTGTGGTTAAACGGCGAGTTTATACATGATTTCAAATATGAAATCCCTACGAAAATTATAAATGCGAAAGTAACTCTGTCTGTCTGTCTGTTACGCTTTCACGCCTAAACCACTGAACTTATTCTAATGAAATTTGGTACAGATATAGAGTTGACCTTGAAAAAGAACATAGGATAGTTTTTATCCCAGATTGTTGATAGATTCTCTTGGAAACGCGATATAACCGAACTCCACGCGGACGAAGCTGCGGGCGGAAAGCTAGTATACAGTATATTTGATAAGCATTGAGAAGATTTGACTGTTTGTATGGAAAAACTGTAATAAAAGATGCAGTATCTGTATATTTACTGAAGACAATTTCTTTGTTTTATGCCTGAATATACACAAAGAGACGTAAAGTAACATAAAGCTTTAGTATTTAATATTAATACTCAAGCTGTATGTAAGCTTAAAAAAAATATTAAAAAGTTTATATATTCAACTTATGGATATATTTTTTTTATAACATATTGAAGCATAGTTTCACGAAATTGGGACCAGTCATACAACATACAAGTAGAGGTTTAAATTGAATACAGAACCTCCTTTTTTTTTAAATCGGTTAGTTTATCAAATAATTACTTATACCTTTGGAGCCAAGTATAGCTGTGACTTCCCCACTGTGTGTGATGAAGGAAACATCTTTCAATATGACTCCCGTCTTGACGCTGCCTGTCATACGCTGGAAGAAACTTCCTGGCTCCACCTGGAAGGATTAAAAGGAATTAATCATCATCATCAGCCTATCAGAGCCCACTGCTGAGCTGCCTCTTCTCACATGGAGAAGGTTTGAGCATTAATCACCACGCTTGCTCAAGACGGGTTCGTATCAAACTTATTGTGAAATTATAAGTCCAGGTTTCCTCACGATTTTTTCCTTCACCGTCAGTGGTGTCTAAATACTCTTAGAAAGTACATATGACTCGGAAAAATCACATTGGTACTTGCTAGAATCGAACCCGCGCTCGGATGCATGAAACCCGGGCCTTTAACCACTAGGCCACCACGACCATATTATAAAAGGAATTATACCCTTAAAATAAATAGAAGCTGGTAGTTTAAATAAATTAAGTGAGCATTTTAATCATATATATGGGTGGTTATATTAAAGGTAGAAGGAAAGACAAGTGTTTTTATATGTGTTAAGTAAAATTGTTGAATGAAAATTTAACATTTGACATGGCAAAATCACTCCCGTTCTTTATTCCCATACAAACGACATCAACGGGTACAATAACTCTTCCTACAATCTTTGATTGATAAGAATCAAACACTTTTATGTCAAATATCTCAAATATCTATACAAGTATTGTTCATTAGTACATAATTTATTTAGCTATAAAACCTCCGCTGGTTGTACGCAAAATTTAAAGCCACTTACTTGTCCAGAGTGGAATACGTTGCATAATTCCAATGTATAATCACTTCCGATCATTTTAACTACAAAATAAACACAAATACCACACTTTTTCAACAGTCGGTCAAGTGTTATGACATTTCATTGAGATACAACCTTCCTCAAACAACAAACTCGCAAACTAAATACAATTTACTAACTTCACATGCAACTAGTGTTGCGACGTTGCCAAACCGATTTGTTGCTAACTTCAGTGAGTGCACTTGACATTAAATTGAAGCTATATTGGAAATAGAACCTTATTGGAAGGTAACAAGATTGGTTTTCAATTGAATTATTAATATTTTCCAGTTAAAGGGAAGCGTGCAAACTGTTTGTTATAATGTAATATGAACTTAATTATCATATTATAATGTTCAATACATTATTAATCATATATTTTATATCAATCATGATAGATACATATATTTCATTTAGTTTAAATAACAGCATATTACAGTTCTATACAATAAGTATATCAACTTTTACGTTTGACTTTAAAGCAGAACTTACTCTTAAGAATGAAAGCCTTATTTTTTCGTCTATTTTCTATACGCATTGCCGCTCATAATCCTAAGAGCCTCAACTATCTGTATCTCTGTCACACTCATAGAAAACACTCATTAAAACACGAGAAAAAACATTTCAAGCTTAGTTATTTGAATGCATTCCGATGTTTATCTGTCTCTTTCATACAAAAGATTTTAATTGGTGTTAGAGCGAGATGCACCACCAGCGCAGTGTCACTGACTGTTCAATGTTCAGTTACAGCACAGAAGTCAGAAGCGTGTCTCATTCTACAAAAGTAACGCTTAAATAAAAAACGAATTTCGATATAAAACGAACGAAGTAATAATTTATGAGAAAAATTATCTTTTATGTGTAACGTGCAATGTTTTAGTTTTGTTTTATTTGTGAGGTGATTTGTGTTGTGATTTTAACATCAGGAATCCCGTTGGCCGGTTCTATCAAGTAAGTTAATGTGTTTGAGTAGCTGTTTTGACTTGTATGGACTTAATATTCAAAAATAAGTTTTATATATGATAATAAAGATATAAGAGACTATATACGGTAAACGGAGACGTTAGTCTTTACTAGTTCAACGCAAAGTTAGGCTCGTAGGTTCAAACGTAAACGAACCTCATTTAGTTAAGTATTCCAAACATTGACCTTAAATCGACCTGATTCATCCTAAAGTAATTTTTTTTTAAAATCTACCTGCATGCTTCGACGGTACAAGGAAAACGAAGATTAATTTTTGCAGGGTTTTTTGAAATTAAATTTTAATGGCTTTGATTTTTGGTTATGAATCCAAAATTATTTAGATAAATTATTTTCTTTGAAACTATATAAAATTATATTTATATACCCAAATGAGTGACACTTGATTGTTTTAATTGAGGTACATTCTATATTAAAAAATACAAGTAACAAATATGGGTTACTCTTTACTAAACGCCGTTCCTAATGCGATAGTATGGTACATACCGTTAAAGTTTCTTTTTATATATAAGACTAAAGACTAAGAAAGAAAATATTGTATATTTAATATTTATAAGAATTAAATCAAAATAAAACCGTGATCACGTATATCAGGTATATAAGATCAGGTTTATAAGTATGTAGTTCAAAATAAACAAAAATGTACGTACGTATAGTACCTGCGAAAATAATACTTCTATTTGAATGAATACTTACGAAAGTCAAGAATATCATTGTACTGTTAACATTTTGTGAGAAAACATGGCCTTAAAAGTGTATGTTTGAAATAATTAATATATGTAATCTCATATTAAAGATTTTTTTTTCTTAAAGAGGGTGGATGTCAGGCAGGCGGCCGGTCGTAAAAACAATTAGCCAAAACTATATGCAATTTGTAAGGCAGATTCTGGCTCAATTGCTAGGTAGAAGATTAAAGTACAATTTTATGATACGATATGTTGTTAATAATTTTCCATTATATGTCATATAGAAAACGAAAAAGTACGTCCATATTGCATTAAGTGATTAAATACTTTACGTTTAAAATTTTGGTCCGGGTTGGGTCATTTGCGAAATGGACGAAAAAAAAATAAAACAATACCCAAATGGCAATGACCTGAGCATGAGAATGGTGATTCAGACGGCACAGGTATAGACACATTGACGAGGAAAAAAATTAAGATAAAAAATATAGGTACTGAACGAATATACATCAGATATTAAAAGATTACAATACAGTGAGTTCAGAACAATAGTATATAATAATAAAACTATAAGTCACGTTTTAAATTAAAAAAACAGACTAAAGATATAAGTCAAAGACGTGAGCTATAAGTGATGTCATGATATTTAGTTAAGATTTTAATTGATTAATTAATTAATTGTTTAATCGTATTAGAAATCATTTTCATTCAATGATAAAGAGAAATCAACAGATTAATTAATATACCATATACTATATCGTAGTAAGTCTGTATTGCCAATTCTAGTAGTGACAGTGACGTGTTTTTTTCTATTTGTAAATACATATTCTTTAATTATAGGTACTTATAATGGTTACTGAACTATTCAGGCATAGTTATCTTCTACCTGGCGATTTCCCAGCTTTAGCCAGAGTCTGGATTACATCTAAATAGTTTTGTCTAATTGTTTTTACGAGCCGCCTGCCTGACATAAACCCTCTTTGGGAAACACGCATAGTTATGTATCAACAAAATTATTTTAATCATTTGATAAAAGAAGAATAATATATTAATGTATGCGTCATCTAATCCAATCAATTCATTATTTTGTGCTGATGAAATGTCTACTCAGTTTAAAATGACAGTTTTACAAATTATGTCGTTAGTAAGACTTACTTGCTGTTTTGTAAGAATGAATGATTCATTCGTTCATTCATTCATTTTGTATAGAGCCAAATCTTTTGTCAAAAATATTTTCTTAGGTCATTAATTTGGTTTATTAAAAATTTTTAAACCATGAAACAATTCTTAAGATTATAAATTTCGTAAACCGTATTTATAAGTAACTGTCTAAGATTTCAACATTTATGTAATTTAATATAAGGTAACTTTTTTTATTAATTTATTTAAAAATATTTTTTTATTGAAAAAACTATATACATTTATTTTACAATAATCTACTTCACATTTATAAGCGGATTACGGTTTTCCAATGCACCCGCATTCGATCATTTGTGATAAGTTCTACTAGTAGAGATCAATAATTGAAAATACAAATTTTACTCCAATTACAGAATAGTAATTAATTCTAAAAGTAATTAAAAGTTTGGAAGAATAGTAGATCAGAAATATTGAATAGATATACGTGTATTATTTCAATGTACCCACAAATATTATTTTATAGCTTTTAAAGACAGTTTTAAAGAAATTTGTTTTAGGATTTTTCTTATAATAATTTCGTTACTAAAATATTGCCAAATATAAAATTTGTCATATTAGTCATCATCGTAATATAGTTATAAGTATTACATTATAATTTAAGATTCATCATTGTACGATGTTATTGGTTAAATCGTATATTAAGTACATCACTATACTTACCGATTAGACATGCGTACTATCGATCGATTTATGACTAATATATATTGTATAGCCTACTAACAAAATAGAACGAAAATATAACTTATTATATGGTAACATAATGATTTATCTTAAACAGCATTTTTCCAAAAATGTAGTTTTCGATATATTTTTATATGTATTTATTAATATTGTGTTGAAAAATTTTACGTTAATTTTGTCCAAATACGACTATATTGTAATAGTATAATCTTTAGTAATAGTCTCAAAAGTAATAGTTATTTGTTTAGTACGATCTGATTAAACCTATGACTTTCCAATTCCAATACTCCTTCAAATATTCCAATAGTCCAATAGTCCAATAGTCCAATATGCCAATAGTCCAATATTCCTTAGAATACTAAAGAGTATAGTCAAGTATTACTATATTGTTCATATAATAAATCATTCTTGACCATTTGCTTCATGACAGATAGCGGAGCTGTCATTTAAAATATAAAATGTATTCTTTATGGCTCGCTGACGTCATTATAGTCTTTATTTGAGAACAGTTTCTTTGCGGTAAAATTATATTATATAATTATAAATATTACTAACTTTCCGCCCGCAGCTTCGTCCGCGTGGAGTTCGGTTTTATCGCGTTTATAAGAGAACCTTTCAAAATTCTGGGATAAAAACTATCCTATGTTCTTTCTCAAAGTCAACTCTACATCTGTAACAAGTTTCATTAAAATCAGTTCATTGGTTTAGGCGTGAACGAGTAACAGATAGACAGACACAGTTACTTTCGCATTTTTAATATTAGTAAGGATTATTAGGGATATAATTACTCTATAGTACTATATTACTTTCTAAGAGTATTTAGACACCACTGATAGAAGGAAAACATCATGAGGAAACCTGGACTTATAATCAAATTATAAGTTTGATACCAACCCGTCTTACAAGCGTGGTGATTAATGCTCAAACCTTCTCCATATGAGAAGAGGCTCAGCAGTGGGCTCTGATAAGCTAATAATGATGATATTATTACAAATGCTTTATATTTTTCGTGTTTCGTCCTACAAAGTTCCGTACACCGTGAAGGCGATCTCCACCCTTGCGTAATAGTTTTCATTGTTAATTTATTAGAGGACATCCAGCGCCATTTTTGTCTGTGTGCTAATTTTTATTTTACACACAGATAATAAATATTCAGTGTCGTTACATGTGTCAATCTGTTTTATCTGTATTTTGTTGTGCTAAACAAATGTTCACGTACGGTAAATTGTTGTATTTGTACATCGCTATTTAAAATAAAGTACTTATTTAATAAATATAAGTAAACTTTTTAACTTAGTTATTCAAGTCTTTTATTTATAGGATTTACTTTGTTTTCATGTAATTATAAAACATAAATTCTATTAGTATTACTATGATACAAAACGTTAGTTTTAATTATTAAAATCATATTACCCATAGACAGGAAACTGTAAATATATGTATGCACATCCGGTCAATACATCAACATATACA